GAGACTTGAGACGTTTTAATTAAATCTTGTCTAGGTTACCAAGGTCATAGACAAAGCACGACAGTTGAGTGCATCAGATTACTTCTGCTCAATTCAGAACTTTCTTTATTCCAGCATATAAAGCATCTACATGATATTGTCCATTTTTATGGTGTCTTATGTTAAAGTGTTTTATCCAGCACATACTATAAACAGTTTGAGGTTGATGAAGAAAGGCTGTGGACCTTAAGCCAAAGAGACATGAAATGCAAGTGAATATAATGAAAAGCTGTCCTAGTTACAGAATGATTTACAGTTTTATATATTGAGCAGATGCTCCTATATAGTAGGAGTAGTAAAATGAGTGAGCACCCCTCAAGCATCAGTGGAGACAGGCGACTCAGAGCTGTGTGAAAACAACAAATGCTACAACATTAAACCAGAAACGTAAATGGGGGTGCTTCACTCCTGTCAGCGGTTATGTGGATAAGCAAATGCAAGCCTAATAATCATCTAATATAAGGTTACTGCAATTCATCTGGAGAGAATAATAACTGCTAAAGGGTCACAGGCACTAACAGAAACTGTTTAATGAATTTTCATATATTAAGCTTTATTCAAGTAGACACTTGTAGGAAATTAAAGCAGCACAGGCACGCTAAGGTGTGAATTAGAAGGTGTCTGCTAACCCCATGTGTTTCTATATCTTCTGTGCCTTGGATGCTCTGTTCATTGAAATGCATTTCTAGCCACGACAATCAGAATGTCATTGCCTTTCTGTGAAACAAACAACTCATTGCATAACCACAAATCATCATGCAGTTCAAGTCATCATTACTAGTATGACAAGTATTAATGCAGGCCACAGAGATGGTTCTGAAGTCGAGAAAAAGGAAAGCTTTGTACCAGATTTCCTCATCTTACTTGGTTTGGACCACATTTATAATGTAGCTAATAAACAAATAAATAAAATGTTGGCAGTTATTTTCACATCACATGATGTGTTGAGGTGCAATTTTGTACTGTTTAATTGGATATTTTGGTAGACTGCTAGCATGTCTATTAATGGGCAGTGGTATAGTTTTATTAACCACAATAAGCATAACACCATTAGAGGAAAAGTAACAGACTACAAATCATTACCAGAGCAGCTTTTAATTTGTCTAATACCAACTCTCCAATCACATAGCTTATCAAACCACCTCACATCTTCTACTCGCTTTATTCTTTTCCCCAGGATCCTGTTAAACTACATGCAATGGTTGCTAAGTAAAAATGTAACTGAAACTACACGCTCCTGTCTAAATTTCTGTACATCACATCAATTAATTTAAAAGTGAAACAACTTTGCAAAGTTATGACTCTATATACATGGCAACAAACGACAAATTAAGACACAACAGCCTGCAGGAATAGCAACAGACACAACTGTGATCCACTCAAACTATAAGAAAAGAATAAACAGCTTGCATCACAGCCTATTTCCCAAAAAATATGACAGCTGTGACTTTTACAAATTGAGTAAGGGTGAAGGAAACAGTGCCAGAGCTTTTGAATATTTTGTGAATTTCACAGCTCATTTATTCATATATTACTATGCACCATACTTTTACCATGTATTAACATCAGACACTCTCTATGAAGCAGTCTTTAAAATGGAAGTCAGATATATCAAAACATGCCCAGGCCTTATCTCAGCATTTAATTCAATAACAGAGCATAAACCAAAAAGCATAATATCAAAATTACAGTTCCCAAATTGTATTTGCAAATACAGCTGAGTATCATGCTTATCAAATGAACCTATTACTTTGGCTTATGTTCAAGACACTTGCCTCCCTTTGTTTGAACAGATCAAAATTGACACTTAGTACAAGTTCACACTAGCCTTATTCATGAGAACAAACGGATGAAACCCTGCAAATAAAATATTGATATTACATTCAACATTTATGTTTGATTTGCCTTGATGAGGCATGTTTATACAGGAGTTAGATGAAAATGAGCAGAGACTGGATATGCAGAAGCAGAAGTGATGGAGTGACTGAGTTTCCTGTGGCATTAAACACATGCAAGAAAAAAATGAATGAACATACCTTCATCTCTCAATGAGTCCTCTAGGTGACCAGTGTGACGAATCTGAGGCTGAAAACAGAGGTTGAAGAAGCTGTTAGGCATCACAGATAGTGCCAACTTCAGTCTGCCACAACAAGACACGTTTATGTTATGATGACATCACTTCTTCTGCTACACTGCTGGATGCCATGAAAAAGCTGGGCGGTAGATGCACTCTTTACATTGCTTGGGAAAAAACACAAGAAATCTCCTCTCAGGGATTGCGGGTTTCCTCCAGAATTGAAGCTTTACTTGATTAAAGAAAAGTTTAAAGGCCATTTGTTAAATAATCCCAACTAATACAAAAGGCTAATGGTGTGTGTGCTCGAGCTTTCGAGACACATTCCCAACAATATCCGTGTTGTAAAGTAAACCGTGGCAGGCTGATCACTCTCATTCGCAGAGCCCTCAAAGCCGTTTATGTAATGCCCAGTGTACTGTAGTCAGTCAGTCAGCAGCCAGACTTGGCTTGTGGCTACGAAGGGCGAGCAAACACAAAGTAACTAGTCGCTGGCTAGTGAGACGACTTCCTCTCTCAGGCAACACAAATACACGGATAATGTAGCAGTATAGGATGAAGTGTTAGATCCTGTAAAAGCCGCACGGCGCCCGGGTCTTTTGAGTACGGCAGCGTGGTGTGCCTGCTGTCTGCACTGCACTGACTATAGCAACACTACAGCAGAGGATGACGCCATTTCTGTAGCTGACAGTCGGCTAAGAAGGAGAACACTCGAGCGCACAAACACTGTAAATTGCGGGATCGGTGGTCGCAATTCACCTGCCCCTGTTTGAGCCATTTCTCTGTCGGAGACGAATCTCTTGGTTTTTTGATTTATGTTTCTTTTTTTCTTTTTACAGAAAAACTGCTCCGAGATCGTTCAATTTCGTTTTCGCTTCTCTCTCTTGTCTCGGTGCGCTGCTCTCTGCGGAGAGTACACTCGACAGCAAAAATAGAGCGATAATAACACTGCTTATGGGCAGACAACACAGCCACCAAACCAGACCTTTAGAGGAATGACACATTAAAGCCGTGGCGTGGTAACAGCGTCAAGTTGAACGAAGTGAGAAATCGACCGTGCAGCCCCACTGAAAGTCACTTTCTTCCTACACAAAATGTTCTCTTTATCGACTAGTCTGGCATTTCGCTGACTGTTCACTGAGTAACGCTGAGTGAGGTTGCCTCTGACAAAGAAACAAGTCGACGGAACGGTTCGCAACAAGGTCAAGCTAGAGGAAGACCTGTAACGCAGCGACATCGCATTAATACCTACAACATTTTATTGTTATAAGATAAGCCAAGGTCGCATCCCTCATTTGTGGCTCTTAGTCGCAGCGAATGATCGCGGAGGATACAATGTCATCCGCCCCAGACAATTTGCTAGACCAGCCGCTGCAAGTGAGTGACTGACCACCACCAACAATAATGCACACAAACAGCCCGAGCATCGGCCGTCTTTCCTCTAGTGCTAAATGCTGGTACCGCGGTTAACTAAAGCATTCAGCCCATTTCAACATCTTCAGTAATGATTCCTGCCTAGTCAGTTTATCATCGGGGATGTTGCCTGTTACGGAAATGTGCAAAATACTGGTCACGCACGCACAACACTGAGAATAACACAAGTCCTCTCCAGCAGAAGGAAAATAGTCCACCTCGCATTTGGTTATAATACCACAACTGATCAAACGGGTGCGATCTTGACACAAGGTAGCCCATCTGCTCCAACCTACATTGGACAAGTCAATCGAGAGAAGCTAACGATACTGGTGGCACAAAAGAAAAGCCTGACAATGCAATTTACCTGTGAAACTACACCGATTAGTAGCTGCTCGACAAATCACATCCCGCAGGGATGTCAAGCTTATACAGGTCGCCAATGGCTTCGTGTAATATCACTTTTGACGGCTATAAAGGAACACCATGACAGGCGCTGCTCGACGACAACCTCTCCGAGGATTCCTCCGCTCAACAACACAACACCCCGGTGCTCGTCCAGCAGGGTTGAAACTATTCAACCCAGGAGTAGCATAACCTTTCACTGTGCTCATCAGCTTAATTTGGCTGGCTACAGCATAACTTTGTTATTGAGCTGACCAAGTTTACTCTGTATTCTCGACCGTCAGCTTTTTGCTGCCCAGCAGCCTAATTCATTCATTTCCTTAAATCCCCCTAAACACATCACAGCATTAGTTAACAAGTTAGCTAACGTCAAGGTTGGCTTGGTAGCAGCAGGGAAGCAAGCAAGTAAAAATGTTCAAAATAGCGATGGCTTTGCCGAACAAAAGCAGCCTTACCTATGCCGTCAAGTTGAGAAACACTTCTGTTTTTCGACGAAAGTGTATTAGTAATCCATAGGAACATTTATGTGAGAAATCTGACAGGTTTTAACGTCGTCCGTTAGCCCCCGGTTGATGTTGGATGCGGATGGGTAAAAGTCGTTTTCGCAGAGCGCTGCTGTTTGTCTTGTTGAGTAGCTCCTCTAGCCTAGCTCTTTCTGTGATCCTTTCCCCGCCTCCTGAGAATGATTGACGGCCAGATTAACCCCACCTCTCCCAAAGGCACACTCGCCTATTGGATGGTACAGTGACGGGAACCGCTTTAGCAGCACAGGATTGGCTGATCTGGGAGTAAAATATGTATGGTGAAGTGTACGAAGTAATCTTACTGGGTGGTTGTCACAATACCGAGAGAAAAAATGCTGAAAAACTACAACCCCTAGCTTTAGAACACATGGGTGTGTTCGATATGTTTCACAGACTGACCCGACAACACGGAGCCGCGTTTTTCCGTTTTCCAAACAGGTAGGGAGAGTTTACCGGGCCATGATGAAATATAACTGCAACACACAGTGTCCGAGGCACCCATGTTACATTCCCCACCTACTCTGCGCCTGCTCTGTAATGAAGCTGAAGCATATATATGTGCCTCATCAAAACTAGCTTGTACTGAAAAGTGTCTGTACAGTGAACAGCAGTAACCGTCTTAGCCTAGCATAGCATCCGTTGAGTTGGCCAGTAACACAAGGACCTGAAAATGATATGAAAGTGTGGATATGACATTAATATGGTGTACTTCGGATGACCAGCGTTAAAGAAGAAGTTTTTAATTTGAAAAAGAAAGAAAGAAATGCTCAGCGGTGGTATACCAGTGCGTTTGTGTTAGCCTGCTAACGCTAGCTAAGTAGCAGCCTGGCTAACAGGAATACAGGACCGGCTAGTCAGCGACCGACATAACGCAGCAAAGGTGGGTGGAGTTAAGGAAGGAAAGGAAGGAAATTGGCAGCTTGTCACAGACGCATTTTAATTTTTAAAGCTTTGCTATGTATGTTGAATTTGGGTCACTATAAATCAAACTTCATTAACATTGTCTTTTAAGTTTCCACTCAAAGGGATGCACATTGTCTACATGATGGAAAAACACGCTACAAAAACTTGAAGCGTCTTTTTTCAAAACCTTGACCCTCGAAATTTTGTGTGAATGGGGAAATGGTCTCAGCCTTTTCCAGATTCACACTGTTTGTTTTTCAACAACTAATGTTAAGCATGATTGAATTATATTGCACACCACATTACTAGTATATGAAGTTTACTGCAGGACTGTGTTGGATAGTACCTATTAATCTAGTAACTCTTTATCTAGCTTTTCAAAAACAATGACTCAGTAAATAATATTACCCAACAAGGGATCAGTGCCTCTGTACTGTAACTTGGTGGAAATTGAATACCACATTGTGTTATTTTATAGAAAATGTCATGCCAGTCTGATAATTTAATGATGATATGTAGCTGTGCATTAGCATTTCATTACAGGCAGTGAATCTAATTCCCTAATATGATTTTTTCAAGATAGATCAGTTTGATAGGCTTACAGGTCTCATGTGACTGGATATAAATGAGGTGTTTTGTAATTTTATGAGATTAAACCTAAACTGCCATCCTGTGTAAAGAGTAGAGGATTTTTTGACTGTGAATATTATGATCAGTAGCTGCCACGGACAACCAAACCTTGCTGTTCTTATTGCTACACTTCTCTGTGATTCACCAGCAATGTGACTGTTTTAACCAGTCTTGTGATTAGTGTGTAACCATGCACAAGAAGATTTCATTGCTCTGCACATACATCAGGCACACAGTTTATTACGCCATGGAAGTGTTTCATAAGATTTGTCTAAACCTTTCATTTTCTTGTTTGGTTTAGATGACTTAGAGCATTTTTGGCTGGACCACACCAGCAGGACCAGCCCTATAATCACAAATGTCCCTGACTGACTGAGCGATAGATTTGCGTGGTCATAGTTCCACCATTGGTCACTTGAATGCCATGTGACTAATTTGGAGTTTCCAAAGAGAGAAGCAAACAAAGGGCTGAAACCAACTGACAGTATGCAGAATGCAAATATGACACGATGTGTTTACAGCGATTCAGCAACAGTTTTTAAATGCGTCCTGAATTTCACACATTGAGCATATGCAGTCCAGCTATATACAAGGTTTTGACCTAGTTTTATTAATGTAAAGCTTTATAAATGGCACATAAATTTTGCGTTCCCTGTATCTCAATTAGATGGTTATTTAAAGGAAAAATGCAAAGTGGGCAAAAGTATTACTCGCAAATGATATCCGCAGAGTTTTGGTGTATTATGCTGCTAAGTGTGTAGCAGGATCTTGCAGTTATATATCTGATGTCACTTACACCGAGCTGGCCTTCGAGTCTGACATTGTTCCTGTCATGTTCACACACATTCCTGCTATTTCTTCTATAACAGCTCTGTCTACTTAACACTGGTTCCCTAATCTGTCAGTGAAGGGCCAGCTTTACTTTTGGAGCTGCCAAATAACATAGGCATCAATTAGAATTATATATTTCTTCAGTACTTTTGTATTCTCAAGTTTTTAACAAACTTTTTAACACCAGAGAACAATAATATTGCCATTATTTCTATCTATTTCTGATAGGCTAGAGGGATGACTGACTACACCAGATCAGAAAGCCACCTGTAATCTCTTACATTATCTGATCCCTTACTTTAAGGCGTGGGGTTGTCAATTTTTTGATGGTTCATATTTTTGGGTAGTGATGTTTTTCTGTTATGTGAATATACATAAAAAAGACATCTCGAAGATGTAAAATGGATGTTGAAAATCTTTTAACCCTTACAAAAACCCTGTTTGGTGGCAGAGAAAACTTTCAAATAGCCTGTTAATAGTTTTTCAATTTTCTTACATTCCCTTCAAACTAGAAAACTACAGAACACATGTGGCCTCATATAGTATTTTTTTGTAATATTCGTCTAGGTGTTTCACACCTAGACAAATATTTCTATTTTGTAGCTCCAGATGTGTGAAACTGAATATAATTAATTTCTTTTACTTTCTATGAACCAGTAAATTGCCATATGTGAATTAATAAATCTTTGTAAAACATTAAAAACAATCAAAAGGGCATTTAAAAGAGTCTGACATCTTCAAAACAAATTGCCTTCCTAGATCTACTTTATATTGGACAGTGTTATAAAAAGTCAATGAGGCTGCAAAACACAGGATATACACACACTGACAAACAACACTTTTTGTTATCTTTGTCCTCCAGTATAGATTTGTGTAAATTTGAAGCAATGGAGGGTGACTCAGAAGCAGCCACCGAGCGAATTCTGCTGGAGCCGTACAAGTACTTGTTGCAACTGCCAGGTGAGTCTTTTTCATTGTCACTGACAGCAGGAAGAGGTGGAGACATACAGACATGCAGCTGAGAGGTCATCAAAATACATGTATGCTGCTGATTAATCCCTAGAGCTCACTTCCTGTTAGTCACACCATGAAGGGCTGTACACAAATCACAGAAAAAAAAACAACTTGAAATTAAAGGGCATTAAATTCATCCATTGTAACACATTTAGTTCAGTTTTAACTAAACTACATTTTGTTTTTCATTGTACATTTGAAATGCAAACATGACTGACTAAAGTGGTGCTTAAATTTCAAATCTGGTTTCGATATGTCAAAGATATTATGTTGTCAAGGCCTAAATTATATGGTTTTCATTTTAACATTTCACTATAGAAACTGTAGGCAATGGTTTGAACATGACTAAATCCAAATAATATAAAATATAATTTTTGTATTTATAATATTGAGAAATTAGAATTCTAATACCCATCAATAAGCTGTGCATAGCTCTGTGCGTGTTTAACATCCCAGTGTTGTTGAGTCTAATTTCTCTTGACCAACCGCTCATTAGCTGCTGTTAGGAGGCCATCTTTATTTGTTTCCTCAGTTTTTCAGTCTTTTTTTGTCAGTGGAGAAGTGAGTGACCTAACAGCACAATTTCAATTGAGTAAATGGGACAAGTCCATGGAGTCTGGTAATGTTTCCTTTGTAGCAGTGTCACTGTGTCATTCAGGCTCATAACACATGATCATTTTGACGTCTTGCAACAGACATTTTTATTAAAAGAAATTACTGGGATTTTTTGTCATAGTTTAGTAATACTTATAGTTATAACTATAAAGCTTCCACAGTAAGACCCTTTTTTTTAACACAGAATGAGCTTATAATTTGCAACAATAGTCATTGTGGAGGATGCAATTGCAGGTTATCTTTTTCTCTTTCATTTGCATACTATAGTACGTATGTATGATTATTAAAATGACTGAACTTTTGTTTTCTGCTCCCTTCTCAGGAAAGCAGGTGAGGAAAAAACTCGCCCAGGCATTTAACCACTGGCTCAATGTTCCAGAGGACAAACTGCAGGTGAGAAATCTGCCATTTCAAGCCTCTTAACATTCAGACTCATCCGATGTTTATTGTTTCAGATGGGTGCAGGAAGGTGAAATGATGCCATGCTCATCTCAAACAGGCAATTTATTTTGTAATGCAGCCAGAGTGTTTTGTCAGAGTGAGTTGTTCCTAACTGAATGTAAATGTAAAACTTGTGTATAGCTCAGAGTATCCATGATTTATCACAGGAGGTTGTTAATGTGGCTGAGGATCGAGTGAAATGAAATTAAAAAGGCGGAGCAACACTTCCAAAAATAGTTTCCCTTTTCTATGTTTGTTTGATCTCTAGGTTAAAATAGCAGCTTTCCCTTATTGATGATTTCTTGAATCATTGAAGTGGGATTTGCCTGTGTAGATGGTGTTTATGGTGCAGAGTTTGGTGATACAGTAATTCGTTGTAGGTTTGTCACTACTAGCTGACCCGTTTACATTACATATATTCATTAGATAAGCAGTTTTAAGAGATGATTGTGAGCGATTCAAAAAGCTCTGGTGTTGCTCTGGTGAATGGCTGTTGGGGAACAAGCGAGCCCATCAGACATTTTGGGTGTTCGGACTTAGGTTGAAGTGACTTCACAATACTGAGCTGTGTCAGATCAGGGCATCTTGTGTTGTGTTTTGTTATCATTTCTGTAGTATTTTACCAAACCATTTTTATGATGCAGCCCCCACCTCCAGTACAGCACAAAGAGCTCCTTTTAAACTTGAAAAAAGATTAAGGAACAATTTACATAAAATTGCAGCTTCAGACTGAATGAAATGTCAAAATGTCTGTCGTTTATATTGTCAGAAAAGTCACTAATTAGGAAACTGATGTGTTTTGCTTCCTAAATCATAAATCATTAGTATTATGATTATTCAAACTATCACACTGAACACTGTTTGTTCTTTTTTCTTAATTTTGAAAAGGCCCTTTCTGACAAGGTAGCTGTTATATCTACTGTTTCATTTCAAGGTGTCTACTCATACACGGCTTTCAAGTTGCTCAGTGGTGGCACATTAATGATAACTTTACTTAATAATATCATTAAGAGCGTTTCTCAAAATTATGTTAAAACATAGTAAAACAAAGGGAAAGTAAAACAGTGCCGCTGACAGTGCAATTATTGACTAAAATGAAGTATTATACAACATAATAAGGTCAAAGGCTATCAAAATAAATTTTCAATTGTCATCATTAAAAAAAATGAATACATCACTATGTGTAGATAAGAGCTTGCATGCCATAATGTTTAGGGCTTTATTTACTGAATTCACTCCACTGTATTTTCACTCTCATCAGTTTCTGTGTCCTGCTTTGATGCTCACATTCTGGACACGTCTGTGTCTTTATGGGTTTGTCTGCATGCCGGTCATGTGACATCACAAAGTTCAAGAAGTCCTGCCAGCTCGTTTTAAGGTTCAGTTTCTGAATACAGGCTGTGTGCATTTCTCTGTGGACTGAGCTTTCATACTTTCACAGTATTAATATAGAACCTTGACCTGCTTTATAATGAAAAAACATGGAAATCTCGCTTTATACAATATTGGACCATTTTTACTTTATGCATTGAATGAAAATGGGTAAATGAAAATGGTAGTTAATTGTTTTACTTTACACCATATTCCAAATGGGGCATGTAAATGGTTGTGAGAATGAAATATTTGAAAGCATTGAGGGATTATTTGTTTTGTATTTAAGATATACTGCACCCACATTAATCTCCATTGAGGGACTACTGCTTTTTCAGCTTCTTGTGATTAGCATGATTCACATCTACACCTCCACTCATCCATTACCATCTTGTAATATATTCTTGGAGGCTGCCTGACAATATTGTAAAGGACATATTGAAGCACATATACAGATAGCAGGATGACTGACATTCCTGCTTTTCCTCAGTCGTATTCATTTCAAATTGAAAGATTTAGGATTTATTGATTTTATTGAACAGGACCCTTGCCAATGTCCCCTTATTATACTGATAGCATAAGCATTGTAGTGACTGGTCCCTTGTCCACTGATGATGATATGGGGACTAATCTGTGTTTTCTGAATGTACATAACTTTCACGGTGCAGCGTGCTAAGTGCTGAGTCTGTCAGGTCTCATTAGGTTTGATGTTCAACAGGTCTCCCTGAATATTTTATAATCCCTCTCCTTTGGTCATTTCATCCCCACCGTGGGTTGTATGTCTTCAAATGAGTAAATTCAGTTTGCAAAAAATTAAAAAGGCGCGACTCAAGTGGAATTTTTTATTATTTTGACATTACATTCAGCTGCGTTTCTTGACTGAAATGCTGACATTTTCAATTCAGGAGTGCATGTGCTCCTTGAGGCTACAACGACATGTTACCCTGGAGTTTGACTGATCAGTTTTTTGATGTAGATTTGTTGCCTACATTCATATGCAGATTGTGTCCAAATCTACTTTTGTTCTCCTGATAATTTCACTTCAGACAGAATTTCCTTGTTATTGTACAGCAGGTAGTTGAGGTTTAATCTACCTCACATATCAAAGAACTATCTCCCCCCGTGGCTCCCTCTGTCTCCCCCGCTCTCTCCCTCTCTGTGTAGCAGCTCTGTAAACTCCTGCTGAACCCATCATGCAGACTGAGAGCACTCCTCTCATCATCATTAGCACACTGCTGCCAAGAAGTCGCCGCCATGGAAACAACCATGCCTTCAGATAGAAGGAGGCAGCGACAGTGGCACACTGTCTCATTCATTTGGCAGTGCATTTTTTATCAGGCCCCATATGTGCTTCTGTGCTGTGTAGTACAGCACAGGTGGAGGTTTGGGAAATTCCCCTTGTACACATCAGTTGCCTTGCAACCTTTAGCTGGCTGTCTCCCTCTTGTTCTCTCTGACAATGCAGAAAGGTTAGCTTTTATTTACAGTCTTCTGTCTCTTATTTTAACAACATGTGCCATTCATGAGAATGTCTGCTGCCTCGAGCTCAGAGCTTCTTGTACGTTTTAATATGACTGATGCGACTGATGAGACTAATGTTGCCGCCTCCATGGGAATATAACTAGGTTATGGGTGGCAGGTTAGCGTATTAAATATGATGTGTAGCAACTCATAACTACTGGACAGTGTAATAAGGTCAGATTCCTGCATAAAACCTGAAATTTGGTAGAGGATTATCATCACATGGAGCAGATAAGAAGTTGTGACAGCAGCAGATTGTTTTGCAGTGAAGGCTGGATCAAGCTAGACAGTACATTTGTAATACATTTGTATTGTAGGGGTTTTCCCCAGGAAAATAGTTTAGCTGCAGTAGTTAGCCTGACAGATCCTGACACGTCATCTTGTGATCACATTAGTTAGTTGATGACGGCCTAAGCAACAGTCACACTCATTAAATATATGAGCTCTGCTGTATGAAATAGCTCCTCTGCTTTCTTCTCTAAATATTAATATTTTATTTCATAAAAGTGTATTTTTTCATGATGACAGTGAAGATGATGTTTGTTTCCAGTGAGCTGGCCCACCTCCACTACAAAACCCCACATTGTCAATTAGTTTATTAGGTAGGAGCTCCATTATCCACATTGTGACAAAAACAATGCAAGACAATTGATGAAGACAAAGAGCAGGACCAGAGCATCAACAAACGAGATTAAAAAACAAACACACAAAACATAAATCCCAGATTAAGATTATGATGTGGCTTCCTGAGAGTTTTACAAAAACCGGTGGGACATCTGTCATAGTTTCTTATATTTGCTCACTAAAACTGCTGTCCCACATGAATGAGACAGAAATTTTGAATGAATCCAGTAGGTGTGTTGTGTGATCGCATGCATGACCATTTTAAACCCTTGGCCAGACTTCAACAGTCCTGCCATCTGACTTGGGTATACCTGTGGTGGTTAGCATCTACTGTAGTCCCTCTAACTGAGACAGACTTATGCGTGCGCATAACTGACTTGTCTGTTTTCAGTTATTTCCCCTCATTAAATTGGACTCAGTACACTCGTTTGTTGTGAAGGAGTCTCTGCATTCTCAATGGATCACTGATTGTAGCTTTGGCAAACAGAGTGAGTTTCTGTGTCAATAACCTCTGGTGATAATCAATGAAGTCTTGCAAAGCAGTGAAGGCACTCAGCACTGAAACAGCAGCATTATACAGCAACAGGCCGACTAATTAGATTCCTTGGAGGACCCAGACACAAAGTCCAAAACTTGAAAACTGTTGGTGCCTGTGTTTGGGTTTGATAGCTGCTGTTGTTATGATCTGAGACTGTTGTTGATGTGAATTTCAAATCTTGTCTTGATTGTGCCCTTGTTCCCTTCCCCTGCCAGGAAATTGTAATTCTCAAAGACTTCTGTTTGCTTGTTTGTCTGTTAGACCTGTGAATCCTCAAGTGTGTTTTTGTCTATGTAATATTCCACTTTCTCATTCATGTGAGTATTCATGGTAGCTAACAACCCCCCCTCTCTTGTGAGTGGCTCACTGAGGTTGCAGGGTGAGCGAGTGTCGGGACCCTGCCGAGGGAAAGGTTGTGTTTGGCGGATAAACTGCTCAACTGGCCCAGCCTTGGCCATCTGCCTGACCCACTGAGCCTCTCTTTGTGCTCCCCAGCCCCATACAAACAGCTTTCATTACCAGGCCACACCACTTGTCTTTTAAATCAGCAGAGCCACTCCAGCAGGCTGCACTGCCAACTCAGGACAGCGGACACCTGATGGGCAACCCTGGCTGTTTTGTGTCAAACATAGGCCTGAAACGAAGCCATTTTTGGTTATCAGATTGAAGATGGCAAACGATGGCCGTGTGCACCACTGTTGAATGACTACCGCAGTTATCTGATATCAGTTCAGCAGGCAGAGTATCCGTGTACCACATGTTTTTGTACAATACCCATGACTCACAGCATGTGCATGTGTGTTATGGTTGATACAGGCTCATATTGTATGAAAGCTGTTGGGGTTTGTCAGTACACGTATCATCATGGCTGTAAGGTTAAGTCCTCAGCCCTTGTCATTCTGTCTTTAGAGGAGGTGAAAGTGCACAAAGCTCTACAGTGTCAACCATGTAACTACATTTCCTCTGAGCTCATCAAGCCACAGTTTCTCTCTCTCTCTGGCACAACACTTGAGTTTTAGGGTGGACCTAATAGACGTGTCGGGTTTGTTTCTACAACTATTTTGACTGCTGAGGAAGACTCACTAGTGGAACAACAGTGTAGACATGGCACCCTCTGCTGTATGCAAGTTGTAATGCATAATTTACACAGAGCTCCCGAGAACCTGTTACTGTGTCTGTTACTAGTTCATGAGTAATGAAAGTAAGTTTCTTCCTTTTTTTTTTTTTTTAAGTATATTTTTTGGGCTTTTTATGCCTTTATTCGACCGGACAGTAGAGAGACAGGAAATGGGGAGGCAGAGAGGGGGAATGACATGCAGTAAAGGCCGTCCGATGCAGGACTCGAACCGGGGCCGACTGCAGCGAGGACTGTAGCCTCTAAACATGGGGCGCCTGCTTAGACCACTACGCCACACGACGCCCCTAGTTTCTTCCTTTTTAAAGTATTTCTTTTGCTTTGATTTTGATGGCCTTGACAATAATGTTAGTAATTGTAACAGCCTACATGTTTTTATTCATGGATTTGTTTGTGTCATGTTCAGGTGATCATCGAGGTGACTGAGATGCTGCACAATGCCAGCTTGCTCATAGATGACATTGAGGACAGCTCCAAGTTGCGGCGAGGCTTCCCTGTGGCCCACAGCATCTACGGTATTCCCTCTGTTATCAACTCAGCCAACTACGTCTATTTCTTGGGGTTAGAGAAGGTGCTGACCCTAGAGCACCCTGAGGCTGTCCAGGTTTTTACCCGGCAGCTGCTGGAGCTGCACCGTGGCCAGGGCATGGACATCCACTGGAGGGACAGCTACACCTGTCCCACTGAGCAGGAGTACCGCAACATGGTGCTGCAGAAAACCGGAGGGCTCTTTGGCTTGGCTGTGGGTCTGATGCAGCTCTTCTCCGATTGGAAACAGGACCTGAAACCCCTTCTGGACACGCTGGGTCTCTTCTTCCAGATCCGTGACGACTACTGCAACCTGCATTCCCTTGAGTACAGTGAGAACAAAAGCTTCTGCGAGGACCTTACTGAGGGCAAGTTCTCTTTCATCACCATTCATGCCATATGGGTGCGTCCGGAGAGCACCCAGGTGCAGAACATCCTGAGGCAGCGCACGGAGAACATAGACATCAAACGATACTGTGTGGACTACTTGGAGAAAGTTGGCTCCTTTGCCTACACCCGCCAGACTCTGCGTGACCTGGAGAAAGATGCCTACCATCTCATCGCGAACTTGGGGGGAAACCCTCAACTGGAGAACCTGATCAAACACCTCAGCGAAATGCATAAAAAGGCTGAAGCCACGGCAGAGTCCAGTACTGCGCCACACTCCAGCCAAAACCACTGACCTCATCCACCCGCACACTCGCCCTGCACACTCTTACTAACACAGAAGCTTTGCTAATAATACTGATGCAGACGTACACATTTCTCAAAAAGGACAACACACAAACCGTATGTTACAATCACAAACCACTTTAATGAGGCACAATTCATCATTAAACATGAATACTTGAATTCTGGTAGACAGCTTTGACTGCATTTAGCAGCTGTGATACAGCAAAGCAGCCCCAAATGTCGCCTTTATCTTTTGTGTGCTAGATGGCTTTCTTCAAGTGTTGCTTAAACAAAGTACACATTACCAATTTTTGTATCCCGGTGTATCTGTGCAGTCAGTGGAAGAAATGAATTAAAATAGAAAGTGGAAAATGGAAAATTGTTCTGGTTTTAGGTTTGCTTTTCTGAAAATGAAAAAATAACAAGATGGCAAAAAAAAGCTTAAAAGCCTTCCTTTTGATGTGTGATACGGTGCATATAAATGTATTTTTTTATGTTTTGCTACCACATTGAAATGTATTATTTTATCTAGGGCCGTGTGAAAGCTGGATGTTATTCCTGAAGTCCCTATTTAAAATAAGATGTGGATGTCTGTCTCGAGTGTGTGATTAATCATTAAGCTGCCAGAGTGCCAATCCTACAGAAAAGACCTCTGCAACTCACTTGTCCACTTGTTATGTAACATGCTGGTATTATATGCAAAGTAGCGCTCACGTTGTTTATGCTCGGCTGTATATGAATACTGTGTTGATGCTTTGGTTTGTTGCAGACAGTGTTTCCATCTGGTTCAGAATCAGCACAGCTCGTCACGTCTGTAATATTTTATTTGGCTGACTCAGTTTTGATATTTGGAGGTAGACACTGTGCTGCACTTATGAACTCATTTGGATTTATCGAATAAAAAAACCTTTAAGGATAACCTCTGGGCTTGTCGGACTTCTGAAACAAAACTCCACACCTGCCTGTGGCAAGGCTGGTGTGGTTGTTTTGAAATGAGCACATTTAACGTGATTGGGGAAGGAGGGACTCTTCTCCAGGGATAAGCAGCACCATCTACTGAGCACATGGGTGTAACCGAAAATCAAGAAATGACCAACACAAAGTTGTTTGTATGAGTGTTTTTCTGCCTGTTTTCTGTAGTTATGGGCGTCTTCCTAAACTGGACCTGATGTCTTATGTAGGATCAGACTCCTAAACATTTACCCTCCACATACACACATGGCCCTATCATTGCAAAACACTGAGCCATCATTATGTGTAGTATATTTAATCATAAGCTCCTATTGCACCAGAGCCGTGTGTGATACTTTTGCAACTGCATCTTGATCAGTACAGGCGCAGAGGCGAGGCGAGAATGATGCAAGTTATTACAGAATTGCCTGCGTTTTGTTTTGAGGAACCTTGACTGAATACTCACACAGGGTGGTTGCTAAGGATGCGGTTGGTGTCTGTGCTGCGACTTTGGTCTGAAATACAGGGCACCAGTCATCTAAATCCTGTATTATCGGCTTCTTCTGTTAATACTATTGTGAGTTTTTCCTCAGCTGCTGAAAAGAGGCGCAGCCCTGCGGACAGAGGCTATCTGTCCCAGACAGCGCTGTTGACTCACTGAAGCTCTTGCTCTTGACAGCTGCAATTCAATTAATTGTGTGTCTGTTGGATTGAATTGTGGCTTCTCTGAAAATACATCTATTCATCAAAATGTCAAATTCTTGAAAATCTAGGGGACCGGTTCTTTCACTAATTTTCCGTCTAAGCAGCCACAAGTGCAGGGAAATGCGGTGCAAATGCATTTCTGATTTGATAAACAGTGCGAGACGTATGAAGTGGCTCTTGCAGAGCTGACTTAAGTCCATCACAATAATCAAAGCCTCTCACGGTTCTCATTTCTTCTCTCCCACTCTCTAGGTTGACTAGATTGATTTTCTCCACCCACAGTGTCTGAGTTCTGTTTGAGAGCAAAACAGAATAGCTTTTGTGTGAAGAGCGACATGGCTCACTCACTGTCTCCCTCATCCTCTGCAAGCTTTGGATTATTTATCACTGGGCTGCGCTTTACACATTTGTGTTTCTTGGTAGCACTCCAGTGGATATTTCATAAATATTCCTGTGGCAACAACAAAATTGATGAGAATGTAAATAGATGCTGCTGTGTTTGTACACCTTCACTGATTTCTGTCCTTTTGGTGATTCTGCTGAACTGAAATTTCACTTTCTTGAGTCAGTTACATTTTTAAAACTACTTACTTGGGTAAAGTTTTTTGAGACTGATGTTTTTTTTTTCAGGTGCACCTTGTTTGACAGATGTACAGTTTTACACATTTACACCTCAGAGCTGCGAGAACAAATGCAGTCCTTTACTGTGGGGCTGCTGAGACGCTCCACTGGAGCAACTGGCAGGATATTTTATTGATTTACAAGATCCTCTGCAGAAAACCACCAACAAAACTCCCTTTCACTGTGACTTAAACTGGTCTACATATTGAACCATGTTCCAGGAAAGATGTGGACAGAATCACTCATTTGTTCCCAGCTACATTTACAGATTAGGCGGCAGGTTATACTCTATACTTTCGTCATGTTGGTCCATCCCTTAACACTTTACAACTTCCCCTGCCTGTATGCTGCTCTCCGTCCACACTTTCATTCCTAACGATATTATATAAGTGGGTCACAAATATATACTTTCTTTCTTTGAGTAACTTCTAAAACAGCTGGACACTTGTTGGGAACTATTTTCAGTCCCTGATGTGGTGCACTAGCATCAGTGGCAGTAGGATGGTGTAGGTTGGATACACAGACAGTTCTTGTTTCATTGTTGATTTGGTCTTTTCATAGAATTTGTTGAAAATCAAAATGTATTATCCTGTAATATGACTTGAAGCCTGGGCTTCATGAAAAGCTTCCTTCACTTTACAATATTCATGCCAGTGTGGTTATCAGATTCATGTCAGTGTTCCCAGAACAACACGTTCTCATGCATAATTCTGCCGGCACTCAGGTATCTGTAAAAACCTCAGTGCGCCCTCATGTCCCATTGGGGATAAAGAGGAATAACAAAGTACTCACTTGTTTCTACCTGCGATCATTGAAGCCTTCATGAAACCGTCTTCTGACTGTAAACTGATTAAAGGACACTCCAGCTATTTTACACTTGTAGTTCAGTTTATTCATCATGGGAGGTGCTACACAGCGTGTGGACAATATTATCTGTAGCTCTAGAGCGAGCTTTCAAATGTCTGAGAAAATAACCCTGATTGAGCTGCATTATGGGAAACGTAGGCTCCAGTGTTTTTGGAGCTTGACCCATACTATGTCTCGTCTTTTGCTGCATCAATTCTTTCTTTCAATTCTTTTTTCTTTTTTTTTAAATCTGCCTCTTGCGAGTCTTCCAACCTTGTGCAAGTGCAATATTAAATTGCTGGAGTAATCCTTGAATGTTGAACCGAGGGCAACTGCATTCATTTCACTGACATCGTGACATTTCCTCTATTTATGGTGTTGCATCAGGTTACACCGAATGACTGAGTGGTTTCCAAGAATCTCATCATCAGGCCGATGAGCTAATTCATGATCCTCTTAAGACAGAATAATTGTCAGTAATGGTTCGGTAATGACTGCGCTAATTATCTCTCACAAATAGTATCATAGTAAATCTGCCATGATGCTGCAGCAAGGGTCAAGTGAGCTTATGAAGCTCCATGATTCACTCTGGTTGCATCACTTTGTCAAAGACGTGTGTGATTATCTGCACTGTCTAACAGCCAAACCTTCCTCCGAATGTATCATCTAACTGATCCACAATGTCACACATTTCACAGCTGTGTTCTGCAAAATGGTGGTGTGTGAGAGAAAAACACACACACAAACCACACACCAGTGACAGACACAACCTTACCAGCCTGAGAAAGTGTAGCTGCATGGAAATGAGAGTGAGAGCGAGCTGTGGGTACGATTTCAAATTGGGAATGAAAATGTTGCCCCATTAGGGCATAGTTGTTTGTCTAATAATATCCCCTCATTCCCGTGAATCAGAATCAGACAGAAATACTCGTTTTGGATGCGGGGTGTCATGAATAAATGATTTCCTCCTCGTTTTAGTGCACACAGAGGAGGGGGGGGGGGGGGCTGGAGATGAGGGAGCAGATTGACAGCAATGTGTAATACTCTGTGAGGAGAGTCTAAGAATCAGGAGTTGTTTGAATGAGTATGCAGATGCACGCCACTCAGCAGACTGTAATCTCCTCTTTCTAAGATCTCAGACAGCTGTGCCTGATCTGAATCTCGGCATCTTCACTTTGACGCCACAGGTAAGTTTTAATTTTAACCATAATGTACTGTGTTTCCACAGTGCTCTAAAATAACACCCAGGTATTACACCTGCCCTCATTAGTGGTATATCTATGGAGTGGCACGCTGCATAAACAGTTAGTTCTACTCCGGCTGGTTTTACCCCAGGGGCACTTGTGCAGTTGGAATGCAGTATATTCAGTCAGATAAATATAAATCTACTTATCTACAACCAAACAGGATGACAAACTGAGGTGATGCTGATCTTTAGTGTATTTAGAGTAGGCAGCTGCCCATCCTGAGTCAGTTGTCACCACGTTTCTACTGGGAGTGCAGACTAGTTAGCAAACAAAGAGGTTGAAAATAGCTAGCTCAATGTAAACAGTTGAAATAGTTAAAAGTGGCAAAATCTGGCAACCTTTTATGAATCACTTTAATGACATCAAATTATCTGACAAGAGTTGAGATGGTGTCTTAACGCCCTGCAAGTAAAGAAAAAAAGGAAAGGAACATGTTCATTTTCTTCCTTTGTTTTTTCTATTCTTATGGAAGGATACGTGTATTACAGTCACTAATGATTAAGTTCAAATATTGTCAGTTACAGGTGAGGGTTGTTAAACATAGCTGGAAAGCATGTGGTGTCAGTCTCCCTCTGGAACAAAGGATCAATTCTGAAATACTCCTTTTGCATGTGGAGCTATTGAAAGTAATGGACAACTGCAAATAACCAAATGGAAGTCAAGAAGGGACACTGCAAATTGATAATCGTCTGATAATTGTCATATTTTGTGGTAAACAAGTTTCCATCTTTCTTTTATTTGTTTTGGGTTATTGCCTTATGAATGTTCGAGTGTGTGTATAAATAGCTGGAACAGTTAGTGACAGTAAAGCATTAACAGTTGAAAAAGCTGAAACTGGTGGATCAATGGTTGAAATAGTTATATGTGGATGAATAGTTGAAAAGCTGAAGCAGTGGTTCTCAAACTTTTTTACATCTAAGACCCTAAACTGACACAAGTTAGACCACGCCCCCATTTGATAAGATTTTTGCTTTTAGATTTTTTATCAAAGCAAGAGTTTGAAACCTATGATCATTATATATCATACTGCGAAAATAAATTATTCCCCTTTTGCTGGGGGACCCCCTGTAACCCACTCAAGAAACCTCTGGGGGTCTCCGGACCCCACTTTGAGAACCACTGGCATAAGGTGACGGATTAACAGTGGAAATAGTTAAAAGTAGTGAAGTAACAGCTGAAATATTTTATTAAAAGAAACAGATAATTTGGTTGAAACATTAAGAAGTATACAATTGAATTTTACATAGTGTGTAAACAGAACCCAGTTTATAATCAGTTCATATTTGGAACGTGGTGAGTGGTGCTGATGAAGGGGCGCACACTTCATCTGGGCTGTGAGGATGCATCAGACAACAAAATGACTCCAAACACTCAAGAAAAATGAGATGTCTGTCAGAGCCAGACATGACGAAAACAAGACTCAAATTTGTAATGTCAACACAGTCTTGCATTCAATCTGCGAGCGCAAGAAGATGATGAGTTTTGGGGAGAGGTGAGACTCAAGATGAAAAGAATTTCATAAATACAATTAACTCAAGCACCCAACTTCCCTCTATTTTCTCAGAGCACTGCTTGTCACAGGTTAAACGAATGATTGCACTTTCTTGGCAAAATATTAATAGAGTGAAAATAAGTCAGTGGTTCAGGGAATTGTACTCTTGTCGTCACTTAGAAAAAGATTACACACACACACGCTTAAGGGCAGAGACGATTCAAAACGTGTGGGGGTCTATTTATATCAAACATATGGATGAATCATATATTCTGGGTCAGTAACATGAGCTGTGGTATTTTCATTATGTTTTGTTGTCAACATTTTCCAGTTCTGCTTCTTTAGTCTTTAAGTGTCTACACCAATATTGATCTCTCAGAGATGACACTATCTGACCCTTATATATGCCAAAACATGAGCATTTATTCCTCCAAATATGAAGCAAAATCAGCAAAACATTTCTCTCTACATTAAAATACATTATTAGCAATTTAAAGTGTATATTGGCAGGAAATAAAACATTTAAAAAAACCCCCGGGTGATCAGCCTGAGAAGTTTTCTAATATAATTCATTACTGCCATTTGTAAGTAAACATGGTGTAATTTGTGTCAGGTTTATGATGACAGATGTAGATTCAGTAGGTTTGATATGGGTGTGGGTGAGTAGGAGAGAGCAGGGCTTGAATAAAGGAAGCAGATTTGGAGCATATCTGAAAATATATTTTTTTCAAAAAGCTAATAATTTAAACATTTTACATCAGTGAGTGACAACATCCCCAGAGCGTTTATCAAAGTTTACACAAATCCAATAACTTCATCTTCTAAAGAAGCACTAGAGCAGAAATGAGAAGCGAGCCTTTTTTTTTTTTTTCATCTGCGTGTTATTTCCACGCTTCTCTCGGCTCACAATGAAGGGCTTCGAGCCAAATCAGCGGGAAAGGCTGATGGGGTGAAAAACGCTGTCCTTATCTATGTAGGAGAGTGGAACGGTTGCGGATGTGACTTTGTTATCATGCAGCTCACTGAAAGAGAGGAGGCGAAAGTAGAAGATGGGGAGGGAGAGGAGGAAGAGGGATGCCTGCTCCAATGTCAGGTTAATTGCAGGAATAGATTTCTTGGCAGGTAGGATGTTCCCTAAATAAAATAAATGACTTGTATTATCCCCCATTAGTAAAATATTCCACATCATCCTTCATTATTTACAAAAAATACACAGCAAGGCAATCTAATTCTCATGACCGAGCATCAATCACATGGCTATACTTCAATAAACAAACAAATCACTGCAGCGGCTAAAAGCATATGCTCTGAGGGCTCATCAAAAATCACACACATTTGATTCATGTCAACATTTCAAACGTGGCTCACTGGATGTGTTCAGTCAGTATTGATTAACGCAAAGCGACTGATCAATCTGGGGCTAAAGCACTCCACAGGTTTTCCTGTTCATCATTCCAGCGGGGGTCGACTCGCTGTCTCAGGAAAACAATGGCAAATAGAGATCAGAGTGATTCCACCGTCCTCTCTAAATTGAAAAAAAAACAGACTTCTGTAACAGCGTGAGCGAAGTCTGTCTGCTGACTGTGTGTCTGGTGACGACTGAGCAGCTCAAACAGTTTCAGTCTAGAACACAGATCTAGTTCACCGTGTGCACTGTCCCCAAAATAAACAACAAAGTCATTCATGTCTCTTCCAGTGTTCTTTATTACCTGTGAGGAGGGTTTCGTAAAACCGGTGTTAAACTAGTGAGTCTATGTCATAGTCACTCTGACTCTGGCTTCGTCAAAAATTTGTGTTGCAAATACACTGATTGAAATCTGTGTTAACATACGTACAATATGACGCCTAACAAATACAGTAAGGCCACATCACCATTTGCACAATGACAGTTACAGTACAAACTGTGTGTGTTTGTGAGAAAGCTCGTCATAAATCTACAAATAGTGAGGAGGATGAAAAGCTTAAGACAATAATTTACAAAATATAGCGATGTAAAGCAGTCGTCTTTAAAATACCAACAGATATCCCTTTTAAACCAAAAGGCTCAGGTCTGCCAAATATCAGAGCATCAGTAATTATAATATTACAAAGTACTCAAGTCTTACAGCAATGATTCTGTACACGATGACCATCACATGCTGGTACTGCACATGGTTCAGTCAGTCACAACATCACTAAACCCACATTTTGTCTGTTCCACATTTTCAAATTTAATAACTGATTTCATGATACAAATACTGACGGTACGCTACAGCTAAATTTGTTTTTAACGTATTCTGAAGCTGCGAATGATTTATTATGTCGGTAGACTATCTTGTTAATATTAAGAACCTGCGATGCAATCTCAAAGTTTTTATCGTTTTCCAACAGAAAAATCACACATTTCAAAAACCAAGTGTGTATATCATACAATAATAGTGATAAAACTCAGTTTGGGGTTTTAAGGAAACCACAGAAACTGAACTGACAACCAGTGTTGAGTGTATTTTACCCACAGTGCCCCATGGTGAGTGTGGTTTGAACCAGATTTAGTGGCCCCAGGGACAGCCGCAGGGGTCTCCACAGGCCCTCTTCCTGTCCCAGAGGATGTGCAGCTCCTCGGCTGTGTGTTGCGGGGACGACAGCATGTCCAGGTAGCACTCTTTCTCACACAACCAGCCGGGGTCCTGGCAGCAGCACAGGGGGGTGTTAACATGCACATCTGGTTATTAGTCATACACTGGTTCAGGTCTCACTCGGGTTAAACTGTTAACACGCGCCTTTGGGACTGAACCACACGTTGCTAAGATTACACCAGCTAACAAAACGATCCTGTCAAACTGTTGAGACGTTTTATTTGTCACGTTCACACAACATGTGATAAGGATGGTGAAGCTGTGCTAGAAGGCTGGTGTACTATACAATTTTGTACAAAGTATAAAAAGCACAATGGTTATCAGTTCTCAAAGTGAAATAGTGAAATACTAAGAGGAGGAAAATGACAGTCATCTCAATTTTCAGTCCTGCTCAATATTTACAGCATTTCAGCCAGCAGCCTTATTTGGGAGGAGAAAAACATTTATCATTTCAATTCAGGTTTTATTTTACATTGTATATTGTATATTTTCATTTTCGGTGTGTGTTGCTGAATAATGAAGCTCTCCGGACTGAATCATTGCCAATAAAGTAAGTACAAATGATCAGCTGTGTGCATGATGTTTTTTTTTTTTGTATTCAGTCCCATTGTTAAACTGTTCATCTTTCTACTGTCCTATTAATCTGAATTTAATGGTTCCATCCCTGCTAAAGTCTGATAAGTTGTCTTTTATAAATATATTTGACTGTTGTCAACAAACCAAATGGCAGATCTTTTTCCTCTTTTACCTGATATTTCTGTGGTCCCACAGCTGCCATCCATATCCCCATGCTCACATCTTCTCCCTGTAACGACACATCGAGGACACATCGCTCACATTATATTCACGATTATCTGCCCATTATTTCCCCACAGTTGCTTGGTGCTCAGTACCCAGTACCCCACCTGGTAGGCTTTCAGCTTCTCAGCATTACTGGCGAGCCACTGGACCAGGTCATGAGAGACCACATAGCCTGAGCCGCAGGCAAACGCCGGGTAGGCTGGACTAGCGTACTCCAGCTCCTGCCACTTCCCGATGCGATCCACTGCCCAACTCTGCCTGAAACTAGGTCAGGACAGCAGTTACATTATCATCACATCCTGTCTCCCTTTCACCTGACGCTTCATGGTTCTGACTGGGCAGAACATTCCTATTTGTTTCGTCTACAGAGCAGCTGACGGTGCACTGGAGTTAAGTTGCGAACACAAGTGGAGTAAATTCACAAGGAAAATATACATTGTCAACAGGATCAGACACCAAACTGTACTTACTTCCCCCACCAGAAATTGCTGCGCTTGAGACCCTTGTGGTCAATCTTCATTAATACTGAGTCCACATCGATATAACAATCATCATCCGTCTTCAGCAGCAGATTAAAGTCAGCGTTTCCCACAGACCTGCCAGAGAGGGAATTTGCAACCTTAATTAAAGCCGACCTCTGATTTTTTTTTTTTTTGCAATATCTCAGAGTGGATTTATTTTCAAATACCACTGAGACTGAAAGGCAAGAGGTTTTGCAACTAAATAAAACACTTGCCAAGTCAAAGATTAAGACCACTGTGTATATTTTGCTACCTGATGACTCACAACTGTACTTTCTCCCTGACTGGGTGGTTGCAATTGTGATTCTAACAACGAGACGTTTTGAGGCGGCGACACACTTTCATTTCAGGGTGCTGATTTCCTCAGAGGGCCCAGGCAATTTGCAGACAGAGAATCGAGTCATTAGCACTTGGCATACCATTTATAGAACTGAAGCAGTTTGGAAGGTACGTTCCTGTAGGTGTCTACCACGTCTACGAACACCATGTCGCCGTGCCGCAGGCTCTCACGCTGCAAGGCGGCGTCCTCCTGCCTCAGCCTGGAGGCATGGTGCTCCATCCTGGCTGGGCGGCCCCGCAGGAGCCCCGACAGACCGTCTCCATCTGACACACAGGTGGTGGGGGGTAGGCACAGGGAGGTGCGTGATGGGGGTAATGACAAAGAAAAACTGAATAAATCGGGGGAAATGGTGAAAGTCTTTTGGTGCATAGAGGGATTTAAAAAGAACCCACATTAAGTTTTTATTCACCCAACTTATGAATAAATTAAGGCACTTTTGAGGAATAATAACTGAAATCACTGGCTGGCGGAACAGTATGATAAAATTTTAAGTTTACAGAATGGATCATTAGTTTTGTTTTCAGAGATATTGAATGGTGAATTTCATTTTCTTTTCACCAAAGTGGCTACAAATCCATTCTCAGATAAAGTCAAATGCAAACACATGCAGGAGGTAAAATCAATAATGAAACACAACAGGGTGGAGAGGGGAAGAACCATGTTATTTCCCATTTGACATGTATGCAAGAGCCCTACGGCAAAAGAAAGGAGTTAATCTCATAACCTGCCAGGGTGAGCAATATTTTTTGAGTTTTTACAGAAGGACTCCTTTACAACAGCTGGCTAACAGAGCGATTTTTATCAAACTGTTTTCATAAGAAGCTCAGACTTAATTTTGTTGTTGGACCAACCGTAGATAGTGAAGGTGAACCCTCCAGCCAAACCGGGAAACCCAAGAGCACTTCTGTGAGGCAATATGCCCTCTGCAATCTGCAATTCCAAGAAAATAGCAAAAAAAAAAAGAAAAGAATTTTTTTTAATCTCTTTTCCGAACTTCAAAACTTGAGACAATATTCTTTATAAATTTTTTTGACACTGCATGTGAACACGTACAGAGGAGATCTTCAGGACACCACCTCCATCATTGAGCTGCACAGAGGAGGAGTTGACTGTTGTCAATCCAGAAGAGTCCAGACTCTCCCAAACCAGCGTCCCCTCAAAACCCTGGATGAAAAACAGACATTTCATTCACTGCATATGTAACATGGTGTTGTTCTGTCCAACACCAGTCACATTACATGCAGGACATTAAAGTCATGTCCTCTGTATTGTTCTGGGGTTGGTTAAGGTCAAGGTAGTTTTCTTTCTACATTAAAAAATCTTACATATTTATATTTGAAATCATATTTAGTTTTTTATTTCTGTTGGGAAATTATTCATTTCCAAGGACACTTCCTGGAAAGATGACTCATGACCTCAGTATCTCCACAGTCCTGGTGAGTATATGTGAAAACTGACCTTAGGCAAGATGAACTGCTCCACCGGTTTGTACCAGACCCCGTTCACCACGGTCCCTGTGCTGATGGCACTGAAGCGAGCAGTAACCACAGCCTCCTGCAAAAAGTTTTTACACAAAGTATACACAGAGAAACTCGACTTTTTTACACCACCGCGTAAATTTATCTTTATCTAGACTGAATGCTGCACCACAGACTGTTATCTCAACGGCAGTAATCCAACAGGAGTTTCAGTTTGTGTCTGGGACCGAGGCAGTAAACAGTAGCAGCACCAGCTGCCCCCAGGCTGTGTATCAGAAAAACAGCATACGGGATATATTACGCTCCGAGGTTGAGGCCCCGTTACCTCCTGGTCCAGCTGGAGAAGCTTCACCGTAACGTTGCTCTGAAGCTCGGGCCGGGTCCCGCTGGGAAACACGCCCAGCCTTGTGATAACCACTGGATGGAGGACCTTGAAATCCAGGGCGATGGCCGACACGTCGGATGGGGCGAGCACCGAGGGGTCAGACACCGTCACGATCTCTATCTCTGCATCCTGCCCTGTCACTGGGACAGACGGAGGGCAGACTGTTACTGCACAAGCACAGGTGAGATTTATTATCGCCCCAACATGCTGACCATCTCTTTTACAGTGATGAAGAACAGGTGATTCGAGGAGAGCCTTCAGAGAAGAAGGCAGACTCTGGGAAAGCTACACCATCAGCACTTTGAGGAGCTGGTTCCTGGGACCGCTGTCTTCAAAGTGAGCTTCTGCTCATGAGTGTGGTTTCTTAATTACAAAACAGCAGTTTATTACCCAGGAGATCAATGAAAAGATCAAGGCTGTTAAAGGGAAGAAGGCTTTTTACTTTATATACGTTCTACACAAGTTCTGCTGCATGCTCCAGAATAAAAGACAATTAGGGGCAAGGAATCGCAAACAAAGAGAGAGCAGCTGTTTATCAAACGACACGTCTCTCACACTGACAGAGTGGAATTGAGCTGCAGGATTTTACCGGTGTGTGAGGATATGTTAAATATTGCTATGCTGACTAAATATAAATGCTTAGTTTGTGCCAACTTGTCAAAACAAACAACAACAGTGCTTCTCTTGGCACTGGCCAGCATTAGCTTGCCAGTTTATTCATTGGAACAATGAATAAAACTTGGCATAAATCATTAATTATTTACAGCAAATTTACTGCTATTTCATATTTTTTGGTGATTTTCCATATTAATCAACAACTAATATTGTATAGTGTTCTGTATTGTTTACATTTCATATAATCAGTTTATTTATTATTATTATTTATATTTATATTCCTGATTAATTGGGTAAATAAAATGTTAAAAATACTGAAAATGGCCAATCACATCTTCCCAGATTCCAAGATGACGTCTTCAAATCTTTTTTGCAACAGTTCAAAAACAAATATATTCAATTTACTACCACAGAAGACTAAATAAACAGCACATATTCACATTTGAGAAGCTGGACCAAGTGAATTTTTAGCATATTTGCAACAAAAAAGGACTTACATGATTAATTGTTTATCAAAATCTCAGTGCGAGTCACAACATGTCAATCAAACATGGTAAAAAAAAAAAAAAATCTGCCCTCAAGTCTCAACATTTTTGAATATCATTAAAAATTAGATTATTTCTCATTACTACAAAACACCAGCCCCTTGTGTTGGGAGCAGGATTACTAAAAACAAAGTCTGAGATGCTAATTAGCATTCACCTTATTGTAGTCCCCAAGAAAAATCCCGATGATGAAGGCAGCACAAACAAACAAACACATTTCAGAAACAATTAATTGTCCACTTAGCGCACGCTCTGACTTGAATCCTGAGTCAGGTACTCAACTGTGTTTAAAAGCAGCCATTGTCTCTTTCTCTTCCACTCACACCGAGCATCTCGCACCAAAGCTGCCCGCCTGCCTCAGATTCTGAAGCAAATCACGTCAACACTTACATCCATTAACACGCTGGAGAGCAGAGAATGGGCTGGAAAAATAAAACATCACCATGACCCTAAAGGCCATTGCCTATTCTGATGAGCAGTAATTATGTTTTCATGAAGGCAACAAACACTGAACCGACCGAGGAAAAGTAGTGAAACGGCTTAACTGGACTGGCTCTGTGAAGGTGAGAGACATGGACAATTTGCTGCAGACGTTCAGTGAGTCTGTTCAATTATTTCATCTAGTGTGTGTCAGAGCTTCATATAGCTTTACTTTTCGAGTGTTAGTGCGTAGCTCTAGTTACGGCTGCAACAGCTGCATTGACTGTCAGACATGTCTGCTTCGGCCTTGGGTATGGAATGGAAAAGAACGGTGTCCTTGAGCTGTGGGTGAACACGAATAAAGGTTTTTTTTTTTTTTTTAACTTCTTTTCTGAAGATGCATTCTTTTAATTCTCTCAACTCACCTCCTGCTATTCTTCTCTGTTCTCAGCTCAGCAGCTATTAACAACTGCACATGCAAGCTACAGACTGCACGCAGAACACCCCTCTGTATTACAGCTGCAGATGTCTACTCAGTACCTGGCTCGGTGAAGTTCAGGATGGAGCAGGAATACGGATCCTCTCTGTCCTCCTCTGGAATGGGACACCCATGTTTGCCCACGATAAACTTCACCCCCACTCTAGAAATAAAAAGCACAAACATCACTGTGTTGTGTTCATCTATTTTTCTGCAATATTAGGCAACAAGATTTCAAAAGCCTGTCCATCTATCCACCCTCCGTTGCCATGGTTACTGAGGGTTGCTTAAAGGCCATCACACCTTATCTTTGCTTAGATCGCTGAATGAGAAGGAAATGGACAAAAAGGAAGAATGAAAGAGAGAACAGTAGTGGCCGCTAGTCAGGTAAAGATAAAAGAGGTTGATGGGGAAGTTTGTTATTAGCTGCCAGCTGCAGGCTTTATTTCCACTACATGAATCTGACCTGGGAAAGAAAAAGAAAGGAGGAGAAACAAGTGGTGAAGTTGGAGATCCACCCTACAGACCTGTGCTGGAAGTGGGGGTGATCTCGGAGGTAGCCCAGCCAGGTCTCCCTTATCGCTTGTCGCAGTTCATAATGGTGTCTCGCTGACAGCACTCCCACCAAAACTTCATAGAAAGGTAATGCTTCATCTGTATGAAAAACAGGAACCATGCTGAATTTTTTAATTTTTGATTGAAAACCTCAAACAACAGCAGCAGTCAACTGTGATGAAATGAAATGTAAGCATGGGGTAAAATATGACCTACAGTTGATGACAATGACAAGGCAACAAGATAAAAAATAATAATCACACTTTGAGGCATGCTTGATTTATGATTCCCATTCCTGATCCTGACAGCAGTTTCCTCTGGTACTTAGTTTGCACTGACTTACTGTGATGCATCCTGTAACGCACCTCATGGAAATTAATGTCTTCATGCATCAAAAGGTGGTTAAACTATAATCCCCTGATAAAAAAAAAAGAAAGCGGCTTCAGCCTCCAGTACAGCCCTGATAATAAGTGATAATCCATTTGAAGGCAGCACAGCGCTCAGTAGTTGCACTGTAATAAGGCAGAGAATCTCAGCTCGCTCCAGCCTCTTTTTCCAGACGTTAGACTATCCCAGCAACGCCCAACACTACTGAACTGTTACATTCACATTATTTCCCTCTTAAACACACACACGTATGAACACACACTCTCCAGCGCGGACACACGGTCAAGCAAACAAGCGTGAACTACCTGTTCCCACACAAACTAAAAACCACAACAGACACACCGGGGCGGTAAAAGCAAAGTTAGCCAGCCGCTCGGCTGTGAAAAAGTTGCAAAGCTTTGTGGAGCTGAACCCCGGGGTTGAGGCTAAAAAGTACCCGAGTGTGTGTTGTTGTCCAGCGAGGTGGAGGAGGGTCGTTGTGCCAACCACAAGTGCACCAGGACGGCAACAGCACAGGGCAGCAGAATGAGCGCTAGCCTCCGCATGGACGGAGCCCTTCACTCAGCCGGAGCAGCCTTCAGCTTTAGCGGCGCGGAGCCTCTTCCTGAGCCACACGGCGCTGCGCGGTGTTGTGAGCCGCTCCGTGTGTGCGCTTCATTTCAGCTCCGCAGCTCTCCGCCGGGCTCTCAGCACTGCCTCATGTCTGCCTCCGCTGCTCGGAGAGCTGGGCCAATGGGAGACGAGTATCCCTGTCGCTGTGCACTCTGGGAGATGGAGTTGGAGATGGAGAACACTCTCTAGCCAAATAAATACAGTTGAGTCTGAAAAACAATATGTGGTTGCATTGTAATATGGTAGTTATACAAAATTATTATTATTATTATTATCATTTTATATATATATAAATTATTATTATTACACTGATATACTATCTACAGAGTATTGACAAATTAGAAAGAACAGTAATTTTTAACATTAAACTAAGCAAGTATTATACCATCAGATCATTATTACTGATACATTAATCTGTCTATCTATTCTAATTTTAAGTCTTGCTATTTTAGCAGTGTGTAGCCTATAAACAAGATAAATGTGTGCACCACAGTGGGTGTAGAACATACATTTCAGAATTTAATGTCTCCATGTAATATAAAGCAGCCCCATGCAGTTTCAATCTCCACCTAAACCACATTAAAGTGAACAGAATGGTGTAGAAAGCAGAAAAAATGTGTTTTTCAAAGTAAGTTGAAACACTAAAACTGATAAAAGCTACAAAAAGTTTGGCTGAGGTTGATCTTGATGTTTATCACATATATGTCTTTTTTGTGTGTTTGTTTGTTTGTTTGTTTGTTTGTTTGTTTGTTTTTTCTTCAAACCACCACCATTGCAAATTTCTAATGAAGTGAGAAAAACCATCTAAGCATAGTAGAAAATTAACATATGGATCCCTCTAAAACCCAGGTGACATGTTACGGCTTTAGGATTAGAACATATTAAACCCGTTACTCTGTGCTGCTCATAAAGTATTTAAACAGAATCTATTGTGCATGGTGAGGGATGTTTGACGACAATCTCTTCTGACTCTGAGAGCACCGGTGTTTCTCCCAGAGAGGAAGAGAAGGCCACACCACCCAGAGCGCCTGCTGCCATGCTTGTAAACATTTCATTTGTATTGATTTTAATGGAGTTCCAGTGTTGCATAAATGTTATTTTAGAGACCTTACCACCCATTCTAGGGAAAAATAATAATGTAATGGAAAACCCTGGTGTGCCACACACTGTTGTGAGTAGAAATCATTGAGAAATTGCTGCAAAACAGCCTGCTGTTACTGTAGATAAATAATCTTATCAGAAATTGTTAGTTTTCTTGTGTGTTTTGCGGAGACTTTGGGGGCTCACTGCTCAATTTGGCAAATTGCTCCAGCCCAGATTCCTGGTATTAGATAACCTACTGCCCTAGGGATAATTACTTTCCTGTGCATTATATAATTCTTTTTGGAGTCGTATTCATAGATATACTCATTACAATGATTTAGTTTTCTCTCTGCAACACATTATTCATTTGAAAGGAAAAGGCTATTCATAGCATGGGCAGGGATTCGTTAAACACAACGCAACATCTTGCTCTACTGCGGACAGCCAACCCTCATCTATCCTATTTTGTTGTTTATGTGTCCAACTCTTATTTAACTTTTTATTTATATGTTGAAACCAATGACTTATTATCTGTGCTATTTCAAGACTATGTATGCAATTATTTTCAGTTTCTCTTTTTGCTTCACAGAGTGTTCAGAACACTCGGCACTCTCTCCAGATCTATATAGATTTCTTTTTATCCACTCCGGTCCCAGCTGAGAACCATGTGCATACCAAATAATATTGAGACCTACTTCTTGAATTTTCTAATTTTAGTTTTTGGTACATTAAACTCACATTTCACTCCATAAATTTTCCCCCCATAAAAAAACTTCTTTTATCTGAACTGAGGGTCTAAGGGAAGATCGTGCTGCCTGTTGTAATACTTCTAAAGCCCTCTGGAGTAGAATCAGGATTTTGGGGTAGATAAAATTGACATAGCCCTGTAAAAGTTGTTTTTCACTCCCTAAGTACTTTTCTATAACCTTTATTATAGTCATGAGTTGTTACATTTAAAGTTAGGAAAATAAACATCCTTAGATATTATCTACTAAGACTTGAACACTCAGAAACTCAGCTAATCTGCCTCATCTGGACTGTAAGGATGTGGATAGAGCAGATTTTATTTACAGTGACCAAACAACCCAACTATGTTGATCACATTCTGATTAAAATGTTGTTAAATCCTGATTGGTGCACAGAAGTTGGTTACATCTCATTTTTCTCACAGAGCCCCGCCCATTTCCAACCAGCGAGAAGAGCTCCGGAAAAAAAAAAAACGTTGTCATGTTGGAGCCATTTATTCATAGTAAGAACCTGATTTTTATTTAATTATTTCAGAGCCTTTAACTTAAAATAAATGTTGATAAATAATCTACACCACAGCTGTACTGAGGCTTTAAAAAAAATCCACCTCTGTAACTCTGACTGTCTTTAATCACATCCTGCTGCTTTGGATTGGTTCAGAGTTATAATCAGTAAGAGATACCTGACTCGCCTTATCAGTGCCATTCATCAGCAATCTCTGTACCAATTTGTACAATCTACTCAGTTCCTGCTATTTTTTCCTAAGTTGAATGTGACCTATGATAACAAATCACCAACTCGATCTCCTCATGTGACTTATGTGGCCAAAAAAAAAAAAAAGCTCTTTTGCACTGATAAAGAGACAAAGTTTTGTGAAATAGTGTCTGGATAAAATAAACACTGTCAACCAAACTTGGTGGAAAGTGGTAATTTCAGTCTTCTCCCAGGTGAGGCTGTAAATGCATGCATGGATGAACACATGAAATAGCAACGACAGATCATTTGAATCTTGATGTCAGCGGTTGATACCCGGAATTATTATTTAGCAACATTATTCATGCGACCTGCAGAGTCGGCGCATGAATTACTTCTTTTTCCTCTAGCTACTTTGTAGAAGTCAAACTGGCTGAGACTGAATTGAATCATAATCCTTAAAAAGAAAAAAACGCCACGACACATGAACAGTGCATCCAGATGGCCTGTGGTTCAGCTCAGCCACAGGGGGTCTCCACTACACACCAGAATATCATGTTCCTCTATGAGACCCACAACGATTTGCAGTGGCTTTTCATGTTATCAGTGTGATCAGACAGACTGTATCTCAAAACATCAGTGAGAGACATGAAGCAGAAAGATTGAAGACACGGCACATCTGGGTTGCCCTTTTCCTTTAATTCATTTGATCCATCAAATGATTTACAAAGCCTGCTATTTAAATGCTATTTTTTTTCCAAAACAATAATACCATTCATGTATACAGCTGCACATTGTCAACATATCCGGACTCCAATGAGATTATTATGTGCAGAGTAGCACCCAGAAAGTCAATGAGGAGGCAATATTTCATCTCATAATAGTTCTCTCTGTTATAGATAGAAATAAATCCATGCAATATTCATCTCTAGCCGTTATATTTCTTGTTTCAGATTTGGCACCGTCCTGAAGATGAGGTCAGTGAGAGCGCCCTGAGGTCAGTCTCAGGTTTCCAGATAGGAAATGATAACGATAATGATCCTGAAAACAATTTGAGTCCAATAGTTTTGTGTTTGTGACAGTCTAGCATCAGAGTTTAATTCCTAATTCAATGGCTATTCAAGTACCAAGAGGAAATTTCCTTTAATTTACAGAAACGATGCTGCAAAAAAGCCTGAACCACCGAAGGGATCATATTATGTAAACCGACCCTTATTTTTAAAAAATACTCAGATAGTATCAATAATTGCATGATTTATAAATGTCTTTTTTTCCTAAGTATCATACAAGCTTAGTAGCACTACACGTCATGTAGCTGTCAGTGCTATGCAACAAATATTCAATAATACTACTGATAATAACAATATTAATAACGATCATAACAATTCATCGTAAAAATTAGCAAATGCTATTCAACTACCATGTAAAGGAAATGTTTTTCGACAGTGTGCTTTTTCTTCCAAAACAAACAGAACGGAAAAAAGGCTGCGGGAACACAGTGCGAGGATCACACTGCTCTCACAGAAATTGGCACTGTAACATACTGTACACTCTAAAAGACTGACGGCCCCTCGGAAACAGAGGAGGCTGTCAAAAAGGAGCAGAGAAACATGCAGGCCTCTGGTCTGGCATTAATGTCAAAGGCCGTGCCATTCACTCGAGGACAGGCAAAAAGAATCAGGCTCAGGAAACATGCCCAGCAAACAAATGAGACCCGTTAAGGAAATAAGAGGAGAAGATATCCTGCAGCTTGTAAAAATATTCCAGTCGTGGGGCCGCAGGATTAACTGATAGTGTCTCTGATTTGAAGTGGATGAAGTATATGAGGAGTAAATCAAACAGAGCAGTAAAGGTAGAATGCATTAGAGCGGGCATGGGAAGGAGGCGGCAGATTCATAAATAATTTTTGACTTGAGGGTTGTTTGCACAGTGATAACCCTGAAGAACTCATCTCGCCATTGAAACATTAGCTGTGCACCTTTCAATAAACAGAGTCTATTTATTTATTCGCAGGTGAACTGATGTGCAGCCCCCTGCTTATTATTACAGACCGAAAGAATTCACTATTTGAGATAAGGTTTCTGTTTGTGGGCTCTAATGAGAATCGGACTGTACTGCAGCACTAACGCGAGCGGGTTAACTGTTGCTGACTCTACAGGCAAATTGAAACAGAAACCACTAGTGAGGGAAGTGTCAAATTTCAGTAGTACTTTCAGTAAGTGTTGCTACAAATAGTCAAACCTGTGCTCTGAAAGCAATAAAAACTAACTCAAATTATGTTCAAGATGATACAAAGATAAATGTTTTTTATTCAGATAAAGGGAAAGGGAATAAATGTTTTAAAAAGGTGGTAGACACTGGGCACATTTCTGTTTCCTGAGGCATGTTAAGATCTAGCACAATAAAAGAAAAAAGAAAGAAAAACATCTCTCATCTCATTAAGCACTGAGCAAGGCTGTTCTCTAATAACAAAGCAATAACAAACCTATTTAACAAGACATGATACGCTCACTGGGTTGCCAGTTTGGTAGCTGACTCCCCCAAAACCCTCAGCCACCAGGACAGAGCTGACCAACAACAGAGTGTCCACCTGGCAAAACTCAACTCAACGCCTATGGCCAGTAGCTTCAGGTGTGGTGACGACAGAGAAGGCAGGCAACGCCATGCCTGCACCTGTACAGCTCTACCGGCAGGTCATCAGAGGATGGTGCAGAAGAACTTCTTCTCCCGGAAAGGGTTCTCGGAGGCGGGGACGGGCACGATGAGCGGGTCCTCGCGTATGTGGGCGTCGCAGTACGCCATCAGGTCTGCAGCTGCTTTGGATACCTGAGATGTTGAGATGAAGGAGAAGGACATTCATATGTGACCAGATGTTTCTCTTACTATCATGTTCCCTTTGGCTGAATCCCTCCCTCTCTTTGTCTAAAACGTCTTCGGGATGTTTTTGGAGCAAAATTAAACCTAGTCTCCCTCTTTTCCAGCCCACCATGCTTCATTTACAACATTTTAGAGTTATCTCACCTCCTCAGGTGGTGTCTGAGTTTGTTTCTGGTTCTTCTAACACAGAGTCCTTCAGCCATATGACTTAAAAGTTCAAAGCCAGCTGGGGACTTTTTGTTGCATCTCTCTTGCATCATTTTCCGTCATTTCACCACCGTCAGTGTCTAATAAAGGCATAAAATGCCGCTAAAAATGATCACTTTCAAAAAAGTACTCTGCAATGAAATGAAGTATCTATAAGGAGAGAGAAAGAGATTTTAAGGAGCTGCTCAATCAGATGGAGCCACTTTGGAATTCCAACATGGCACTTTTAAGCTTAACTTCTTTTTCCTCTTGAACATTTATTTTTCATTTGAGAGTAAAAATTGTATCTTATAAAAACTATAATGAATAGCTGAAGGTAGTGTTTTGTTGACTTGATGATCACTACTATGATGATGTATGAGGCTCATTGCTGCCTGTATAAGGTAAGTGGATACGGCAGACACGACCCTGATGAAGGTAGGACAGCCAAAAACATTTGGCGAGGTGAATAAAGCACGGTGTACCGGAGAGGAGTTGTGTGACGTTTTAATTTTGATAGACTTCCACTGAAGACCATAATGCTCTGCGACTCGCTGCGTGTTCGTTCTGGCAGAAAAATGTTTTTGGAACTAAACTCGATCCAGATGAGACCTGTCCAAAATCTGGATGAATGTTGCGAGGCTCCTTTTTTTTCTGTGAGAACTGCATATTGTCCGAGTTTCCGACTTGCCAGTGCCTGTGGCAACTGTACTGATGCCTGTAACCTCAGCCTCAGGCAGGGGGAGAAGACAGCTCGTCAGGATGACTGACAAGTGTTAAGGCGGGACCTTGACCGCCTGAGGGGAGAGGACGACGGGACTGACAACACACTTCCTGTCTCAAGGCGAAAAGTTGCATATGTCATGCGTGTAATTTTTAAAGTCAAACAGTGAGTATGAGTTCTACAGTAGAGTCAGACTGTATGTGAATGCAAGCTTCCACTCGGGAGCTGAGTGGGAGGTAATGGGAGGGGAAGCTGCAAATGGAGAGCAGAGGAGCAGCTGCATCAGAGGGACGGTGAGGGCTCAGGGATCTATGTGGAGGACAGAGCCATCTGATCTCCTGCCTGCCACTTCACCTCACCCACTGCTGCTCTCACAAGAGAATACAATGCACAACATCCATCCCTCTGCCTATCACTTTTAGTCTTAAAGAGGGATTATTATAGTACTATCACCACAGCATAAAATTATCCTGTCTGAAGGGCTGTGGATCGATACCCGGTGCTGATTTTAAAGGAACAACAGGGCTGCTTTTATGCTATATTTTTCTTGATGTCAATAAATCCCATTAAAAGACCAAACACAACAATGCATTATTCAGTCTCTGAGCCTTTCTGACTTCCCTTCCCTGTGGCACTCAAGCTGCAAGCCCATTCATTCCCACTGAAGACGTGTGTCTATTAAAGCAGCTCACAAATATATACTTCCACTTTTAAAAAAGACTCATGGATTTCCTAAAACATCTGGGCAACAAATGTTACTCAAGCAGGAGTAAACATTGTTAGCAGCGCATTTGTTAGGGACTATTTTCAGTCATGGATTAATACACATTTGGTGGCACAGAGGAATCAGGCTTTAGCCTCACAGGTAATACTTGTTGCTAGGATCAATTTATTATTGGTTTGGTCTTTTCATGGGATTGGGTGACAATAAGAAAAATACAGAATGTCACCAGCTTTATCCTTTAACCTGTTAACCACCTTTCCATGTCAGAATACACAACTTTTTAACAATACCATAAAATCCTGTTTTCTTTTGTATCCCATCAGGTTTATTCACTCTATCTTTACCTCAGTCGCCCACGCAGGGTTCGGGATTCCCCTAAGGAGCCCCAAGACAAATATGTGATGATTACGGGAATAAAAACAAATAAACAAACATATACTTCTGTTAAACAAATGATATTTCTGATCTTTGCTTTATTCTTGTGAGATACTGGACACTCTCACCTCTTCAGGGCAGCTAGAAATCCTTCAAATGAATCAATCTTAGAAGGAAAAAAGACTCAGTGGTTGAGCTGTTCAGACTTCACGCCCACACTGAGGCCACCACCTGTGATGAGGGGGTCCTTGCTTCATTTTAAGGGGTCACACCGAGCAAAGCATTTGGAAACCGCTGAGAGGAAACCTCACTGTTAAATAAAGATTTTCCACCCTGCATCCTCCACTAGAAACCAGGAGACGGTGTTTAGTTATAAGAGAAACATTAGATTCCCAAACAAACAAACAAAAAAAAAGGCAAAATGACAGAACAGTATAATCACTCATGTTTTCCTCTCTGCATGATGCTGTTGGCTCGCTGCTCTAACTACTGTAACCACCTTGTTCCAGCTAATGCGTCTTTATTATTTTTGTCAGCCTCACACCACCTGTGCTGTGGCTCCGTGCGTGTTTTTGCAATTCCTCTGTGGCTAATAAAAGCTGATAAGTCACAACGATTGCTTAATACACCTCACAGCGAGATTAAAGGAAACAGAGGTGACATTTTCTTTTCTAAATCTGACAGGATCCGCTTTTAGAAAAACACTTAAATTGTGACAACTCTGAACAACACTGGAAAGTGTGTTTATGCATTTCCTAAAATGCAAGAGAGGAAATCAATAGAGCAATGCAATGTAAAAATCATCAGTGGGTAGGTTTACATGCACAACAATATACTCATATGAATATTTGAGAGCATTTGATGTGACTAAATCGGGGATTAAACTGAACACCAATTCTCGATTTGACTAAGGTCATACTCAAAGCATGAGAGGGGCATCATATCGCAAAAACTAATCAAAAGACGCACATTAAAGGTTACCTCTAATGGCTGATTATTTCAGCTGCATCATTATTTTAAATACTTTTTGTCTAAACTACGGTGGCCACGAGAGCTAGCAAAGCAAATACTCTCAACGCAACCATTTACAGAAACGTGCTGCGAGTAGCACAGACGACAAAGGAAGTGTTTCCAGGTGACACAAAAAAGTGATGAACCCGGCAAGGACACACTTGCTTGGATGTACATCCATGCGCACTTGTTGTTCGTTGCTTTTCATGAAATTAAAGTCACAAAGCATTGATCAATAAGTGCGCCCAGCCGTATTTGGTTGTGTTGTGAGTATTTGCAGCGCACGTGTTGTCAAATTACTGAAGATTTTTTCTGAAATTGTTTGTGTTTTATCTGTTTGCATGTGTTTTCTGAAGTTGCAGTGCGTTGATCTTTCAGGGCCACCGTCCTAATCTGCCCAATCCAGTCCCTAATCTCGGTCTGCACAAAGCAGAAACATTAACAAAGCTTTCTCTTGCACTGCAAATAAACTGCTTATTCTCGTAATCAAACATAAATGCAATAATTACATTATCGTCTAAGTGCAGCCAGGGTTTCTGCAGAAAACGGGATCCCCACAGGACAATGATTGGTAGTGCACGGTGTGTGTGTGTGTGTCATTAGGCCCAGACTGACTGTAATTACACTGCAGCCCCATGATGGAAGGAGAGTCCTTCTAATTAGCACAGATCACATTGCTTTGGCTGATTGAGCAATTAATGAGAGTGTGGTGATCCCTCAATCAGCAGCACAGAGACCACTCTTGTCACTGACACACTCTCTCCCTCATCAGATCCCTTAATTAAATTTAAGGGATCGCCAGACGTGGCCAACTATCTGTTTTATCCTCTTTCTCTGCACTTTTCTCTGCTTTCATTCGCAGCCACGTTCTACTTCACTGGCTCTTTCTTTTTCTGGGGCTGTTAATAAAGAATTACTTGGATCTCCACATCTGACGTGTCAAGTGGTTATAAAGCACAAACAGCTGCCTGCCTATCAATCATCCAACTACTGCTGGGGAAAAGAATACAGATGTGAGATCATGCCAATACTAGTATACTTTTTTTTTTTTTTTATAGAGGAGCCGACTCTTCTATCTCACAGAGCTAAAAGGTTTTCACGTAAGAGCGAAACTGCACCACTCTGCAGCCAAACCAGACTGCAGAAGTCAACTATTCAGAACGCTTAGATTTTTGTCGGAGCTGCTACGCGGCCGAGTGAAAGCCTTTCAGATAAAGATCAACTCTGACATTTAAGATTCATTTACATTCAAGTCTGATGCGTCTTTTTCAATAAAATGCTAAGGTGACAGTAAAACTGATAAGTCAAATCTATTCAGACACTGATCTAAACACTCCTGTTAGATAACAACATCATTTTACACTTTTTTGTCATTTACCTTCACCTTCAGCAGAACTGTAAATGAGTCGGTTTACCTCGCACACTATTTCAGGTTGGGACAGCAGGTTATCATGCATGCTCTTGTTTTATATTCTAGCCATTAACAGTTTACAACTTCCAGTGCACTTCAGCCGCAGCCTTCCCATCCTTCTTACTTAGTGAAACACACTGAGACATTCTTGTTTTTTTGTTTTTTTTTTCCTTTTATCAGTCAGCTATCACCACTAAATCTAACAGGACATTTACTCTCTCCAATCCAAACCAAGTGGAAATGGAAAACACTTCGCAAATGTATTTTTTCTGTTGTGTCGCTGTCCTTTTTAGCACCAGCATGTGAATCCACTCACGAAACTGGCTGTAGGCCTGAACCTGCTGAGTAAATGTTAAACAACTGACCACGAAACAGAGAGACAGCTCACCCAAAAAAGAAGGTGGGGACAGATTCAGCGTTAAAAATGAACAGTCTGATAAGACTGGTGTCCACGTGTCCAAATCCATTAATGTTTTTATGCTGCACATCAGCCAGAAAACTTCCCATTATTTTTGACTGATAGTTACCCACATTGCTAACCTTGTTTTCAAAGTCAACTCATAGAATCAAGTGTATTAATGTTAATATTGCCATTTTGTCCCCAGTTTGTTGTCACTTCAGTAGTTCTTGTCGCCACCTCTGACTCTGAATTACATGTGAGTTTTTTTCCACTCAGCTGTTATGGTATGATACGACATGAACATGGGATTAGTGCTAGTCTTTAATCAAACACTGCGGCTTGAGAGCACTCAGCACAGAAATCACCTACATCTTTTCCATCCTGTTGAAACAGCTGAAGCTGCTCTGTCTAAAAACTCTAAAAGGTTGAGTATAATCTACTGAAAACACTTTATAGGTTCAATCTTCACCACTGTATTCAGATTAGTAATAACATAACAATGTCACAGACTTTTACTATTAACTTTACTATTGAACCATGATTTTAAAAAACTGTACAGCTGAACGCACTAAGTCGCCATGATTCATATTTATTTTCATTTTTATCTAATATGATTTGTGCTCAACTTACTTTATTCTGTAAATAAAAAAATGTTTGTATTATGGTACGTTTCATGTTTCTTTCTGTTTCCACTAAAAGTAAATATGGTATTTTGGAGAATTGATTTTAAAAAGATCATGGTAATGTTGTTTTCTATACCTCTAGTGACACACATTACTTTTTATTTTGATGGACTTCGCAGCTCGCACTTGTCTGCACCGCGCTGTGTTAGAATAATTTGATCCATTTTGGGCCTTTTGAGCTCCCATAGACTTACAATAGAAAAACTGGGGGTGTATGTGGGATGTGGAGGTTATCAGTCTGCGCACGGTGAATGGAGACTTCTCCTTAAAAACCCTGTGAATGTCTGAACCAAAATAAGTGAGAAATGAAAATCAGATGTTGTGTCAAAAAGTCAACTTGTAGGTTAAATCAGGGATCCTCTATATACATCTTCCAACCCCTGTTTTTAAGGCGCGGGGATAATCACTTTGTTTTTTATGAAGAGGAAGTTTCCTTGTAAGCAGCCTTTGTTGTGCTTAGTAGGGATGATGGTGTATGGCAGGCTTCCAGACCCGGCTGTAATGCTGAGCGAACAGCCTCGGGGCTGTGGGGCAATCATTCCCCGAGCACATGAGGAGCATACCCAATGAGATGATGACACCGCCTTTTAAGTTGCAGAAGAAGTCGTTGATGAAAACTATTGAGAAGAGTCTGTTGTTGCGGTGATCTTAACACTGTGCAAACAATGACTTCTATTAATGGTTCTACTGAATCTATTGAATGGAAGTAATATAGAAATAAGGTGACTGATCTCAACCATAAAGAGCATATAGGGCTCAAAAGTCAATATTTAACCAGGTGTTGTTTGATGAGGACACTCACTCTTTATGAGGCCTCTACAGCTGTTTCACAATAAAAGTCTGGTGGAGTTGCAGGAGGTTAAAGGTACAACGGACATAACAGAGAGTATTAGCACATTCATAGTCTAGATTTTCTTTGCTGAGTCTAGGAATTTGAACCAGTGACCTTAAGCTCACAATCCTGCTGCACACTCGCAGAAATCAAACACTGGCCGCGTAAGATGAGGAGAAATCCTGCATGACCCAGTGCTAACCGAGGACATGCTCTACAACCATCCTCTGAAAGGACTGGTAGAAAACTGATGTCAGAAGTGGTCAACAATCACCGTGACCCATCATGCCTCCGGGTTCATCCCTCACAGTTACTACATGGGAGGTGCTTGGGTCTCCCAGCTGTGCAGATACACTCCGACAGAGAGGTGGCAACATGGGTTCTTTCAAGGTGAACTTTCATTTGACTCCTGTCAGAAGAGGCTGCACTAAACCACACTGAGAAACATTAATTTAATCATCTTGCAGTCTGCTGGAGTAAATTATGGGAACTCATTATGGTCGATTATGAGACTTTATATATGTGAAGAAAGTTGTATAAAGCCGTTTGTGGCTCCAGAGGGAGCCGCATGAAATCTGATAAATGACGTCAAGTGATGTTGGAGGAAAACTAGAGGAAGAAGGAAGAAGAATGAATGGAATAAAAAAGGACAATATCTATGGTTCTGCTGCATCAGCTCTGAGGCCTTGCGTCAATTGTAAGTGACAGTGTTACAGCAGAGCAATGTTGAATCAGTGCAGTGCTGTTTGAAGGAACAGAGAAACCATGAAGGACAAACATAAGGTAATGGTGATGGTATACTGTCACTGTCTCAGGCCATCCAATGTATTCATAATGCACTATGATGACAAACAGTGTATAACTGTGGACAAAGTAAACGACCTTTTAACTTGCATTTACATTAAGGAGTAGTGTGACATTTTGCTTTCGTGTTGTAGTTGAGAATATTGACACCACACTCATGTCTGTACCATAAATACATAGCAGGTGCCAGTGGCTTGTTAGCTTAGCTTAGCTTTAAGACAGGAAACAGGGGAAACAGCTAGCCTGACCCAGTCACAACAGGAAACAAAATTCACTTTCCAACACCTCTGAAGCACAACAATTAACATTGTTATATTGCTTTGTTTCATTTGCACAAAAAGTGTAAAAACTTGAGCATGACCAGGAGCAGTCACTTCCAAACAAACCAGATATAACGATATAACATGGTGATCGTCAGCTTTAGGTAACTTTATTACCTTTGGACAGAGGGAGGCTATAGCTGCTTACCTGTGTTTCCAGTCTTTATGCTAGGCTAAGCTAACCGGCTCTAGCTAGATATTTTCTATACAGATCTGTTCATCTGACTCTCAGCAAGAAAGGGAAAAAGTGTATTTAGCAAATCTATTCCTTTTCATTTTGTGTTTTTAAAATGACAAGATGGCAGCATTTGCCTAAGTATGACTATGTCAACAAATTCTATGAAATCAACAAAACCAACAAAACCAACCAAGACTAAGCCTCTAAGACCATTTACTCTTACTGAAGCAGCAAATAATGTTTCATTTCATTAAAGAAAACACTCTAATATCCTAAAACAGCTGGGCACTGTAGTTTTTATCAAACTTCACTCAAACAGGAGTAATTATTGCATTAATAGGGGACTAATTTGAGCTGCGGATTAATAGATATTTGGCACATAAGTGAGTGGGACAGTGTATGTGGGATTGACATACAATAAACTACAATGCCCATGTTCATCATGACAGAGCGTCGTCATGCTGACATGTTTTTAATAGTTTTTTCAGTGTAGATACTGAGATAGATAAATTATTATTATCATTTCATTGTGTGCAAATACTGAACGGTGACAGTCAAGAATGATAGACATAAAATAAATAAAAATAACTAAATGTTATTTAACTGGAGGTTTGATACACAGATGTTTTACCCTGTATATTTCACAGCTATATATATGCAGACCCATTTTATCACCATTTAGATAAGCTGATGTACATATGGACACACACACATGGCAGCTTATAACATTGAAGGTTCATGTTTAACTGTCATACAACTCTCATGGCAAAGATACAGTAGCTCAACCATCTGACGAGTTAAAACATGAATAAATTTAGTTGTAAACTCTCTGTTAAGGTTTGTACTTGCATCAAGTGGAGCTACAATTTTTGAAAGATGAGTCTCTGAGTTTTTAGAATGACGTACACTTCAACTGGTGATTCACACATTGTTGAAAAAGAAACACATGCAAGGTGACACAGGTGAAAATAAAAGCCCTGTACCTTTATCCTATCCATGCAGGCCTCCATCTTCAGCTGCTCCACAGCTTTCCTGGCTTGGGAGATGCTGGCGGTGCTGTTGTTGGCGATACCGTCCTTCATGGTGCTCCTGTGATGCCAAACAGAGGCACAAAGGGGGACACATAGAGTCAATGAACATCACATTAAACCCAGAGAGCAGCAGCCCCCCCCCCCCCGGTGATGTCCCTCAGAAGCAGCCACTTTATGCCCCAACCTTTTTTTTTTCTTCTTTTAATTCAAAGGACCCATTTTGTCGGGGGGGGATCTGTTTTACAGCAGCTAAGCTCCATTTTATCTGAAGAAAGAGCTTTGAAGGCAGCAGCTGGACAGCGGTTTGTCATTTGTCAGTAAGCGTTCATGCATGATTAGTTTTCTTTTCTTTATTTTCTTGGTAAAGTTATTCTTTACAGTAACAGGCTGGAGGGGAAGTTACACAGCATTAAAACACACCTCTTGGAGCGTGCAGGGTTCAAATGCTTTGCTCAAAGACACTTCAGGAGACATCTGGGGGTTAATGTTGCCTCTTTTCCTGAGAATTATCAGGTCTTGGACCCTTTCAAGGCAATAAAACCTACAACTTTCCCCTCCTCCTCCCCAGCACCTACAGACTGGATCAGACTCTTCGCTTTTATCTTTTCAACTTTCTCCACAGTGTGCATCAATGCATCTGCAGACTGTTTCATCTGATCCACAGCCTCTCTGTAGATCTAAGTAATGACTAAGTCTTGCTCTCATTTTAGGCCCCTTGACCCCCCTCACTCCTGTGTCCCAGTTTGGCAGCCAGAGCAGAGCCAGATGACATCTGACCACATATAGCTTTTATAATAATCTGCATGAAAACATGAAGCATTTGACTGAGGTGGGATGCTGCTGAATCAATTCACACTGTGAATCTTTTTTTTTTTTTTTTGCATCGATTTGTTTATTTATTTCATTTTCATCGCATCAAGTCGAATTTAACTGTATTGAAACAGATGTTATGAAGCAGATGTTTAGGAAAGGGGGATGCAGGCGGTGAATTCATCCTCCAATCCCACCCTTCGCGCCTCTAAAGCCAATTTATAGCTTTTAATCACACCCTCGTAGGGAAGCTATCAGGCCTTTTCCATGCAGGTTCCCCCTCGATTCGTCCATCCTGAAGCTCACACGGCTACATCTGGGGCTGTAACGGGGTCTATGCTGTTTTATCCAAATGTAACGATGCTAATTGTTGATGCAGATCCGTCAAACATGGGCGACTCTTATTTCTAAAGGGGATTAAATTGTGGACACACACCGTGCGAGCTGCGGGCCCTGGTTAGAGCAGAAAACAGCAAACCACACATCATGAAAAAAAAAAAGATTTTGCATGAAGGAATAATGAAAAAAAAAATCTCTTGACGCTTCGCTGCATTGCGCGGCTATGATCTGATTAATGTAGGCTACAGCCGCCGACCTACCTCAAAATGTGCCAATGGATTTCCAATTTGGAGAATTCCGGGTTGACTCCACCCAACACACACACACACACACACACACGCACGCACACAAAAAAAAACAGAGGATCTGTCAAATATCAAATGATAAGAGGAAATCCCAGCCTCGTTTCGGTGTGGACTGAACCCGAGGAGGTAAATCCTGGCGTTTTGATTTCGCCTCAGCGGCTCGCTCAGTGTGAGTCGTGCGTATTCCGTGTAGGAAGATGAGATCCAAGCGGCGAGGTCTTGGTGAGCACCACGGCTGGACTTGGAGAGATGTTACGCATGCAGCAGGGGGGGAAACCTCCGTATGACGACCAGATACAGGCTGTGGGGCAGGGAGCACTCGATCAGTGGACCAGGAGCTGCAGCGAGCAACAATGCAGGATGCGCTTCTACTGTACAAACTGGCCCTGAACGCACCGACGCTGCCTATTAGTCAAATTAGGATCTGCTGTTTTTCTAATTTGCTTTATTGCTGCAGAAGGCACCAGAGATCTGCAGGCTTCCCCATTTCATTTTTACATCAGCTTTGACATCACCGGGTCCCCCCCCCCACCACCACCATAGTAACCGATGGGCCTCATCCATAACAACACTGCTGCTCTTTGGGGGATTTGCATCCAGATTAAAAACCCTGATTCAACCTAACTGATTGATAATCAATGTTTTTTCTTTTCTTCCTATTTATACTCTTGATTTAATAGTCATTTGTGCAGCATCACCTAGGTTTCCTCTTGCTTTAGATGCCCCTGAACGCACCTCTCCACACAAAGCAAGAAATGGACACAAAAGACAAGATGTAGTAATATTTCTTCAAATATTTATATATATTTATATATTTATAATATACTCATCACTTGGTTTGTCCATACATACACACACGCACATATATACAAACAAAAAGAAACACAAAATGAAACCTTTCAGAAGCTCAGTCCATGATGCCAAACTGCAAAACCAGCCCAGAGGTCAATTAAACAACACGATTTAAGCAACCTAAGACAATGATCTTAAATTATGCATAGCTTAAGTTATCAACTGAAAAATATTTCCTTCTGTATCAGAAAGCACAAAAAACATTGTCCATTATCATGTCTTCCTCTCTGATTTTTGCCATTTCCTCCAAAAAAAAAGTAGAAGAAAAAACATTCATACAATCTCACATAAGGATGTTAAAGAAAGAAAAAAAAGACAAACATGTTTATAAATTTCAAAGAGGAAATGTATGTACACATGCAAGCATGAAACACAGTAAACAAACGCAGTAATACCATGTCTTATACAGGCCTGACGCTGCACACAGCAAGAGTCCAGGTGGGCTGAGGAGGGAAAAAAAAAATCAAAACAACACAAAAGGAATGACATCATGATATAAGAAATATTCCCTTTCTCGTAAACAAGTCGAACACAAAGTGTAAAATGTAAGACATCATTATAGTCACCACAAAGGCAAAACAACTTGTTTCACAGCTGTATTAGAACAAACTCCTGGTTTCTCCCCATATGAAACATGATTAAATAAATGACCTATTGCATGTTCATGTCAGATATTGCTTTCTGGATTCGATTTATTAGTGGAATTAAAACAAAGCTCAGTTCATATTAAGACCACAGATCATTGGCTCTCCTTGAATTAAATGGTAGCTTATTAAAAAAAGTGCTTTGACTACCACTTGACACAGAATAACTGATAAATTGAAAAGTGCGGTAAGTTGAGTGGGAATGTAAAGAATAGCTGCATGGATCCACAGTGGGTTAAGGGAAGAAACGTTTGGTCGACTGGTTCCCAGACTGATCAGTGTAGTGTATGAGATTCTGAAATCAGAGGTAAACCTCATAAGTGCAGGAAACGCTAACTGCTCTAACCTCAGCCTGCTGGACATGATGCTCTTCACCACACCCTCCCATCTACTACAACCTTTTTTAAATGCTGCACAAGTACTGAGCGTGCCTCGCAGATCAGCGAGGATGATGGGGCGTTCAGGAGATTCCTCTCTGCTTCTTCTCGAGCTTTAGGCAGCTTGTGCTGTTTGTTAATTGCTCTCTCAGGATCTCAGTGAGCTCTCTAAAGTAGTGGAGGGTTTTAGTGCATTTGAGAGGCACAGTAAAACACAAGGGAAGGAAAGAAGGAACGATGAGCCTCCATGGTGTTTCTAATAAATAAATGAACATCAACATTTCTCAATGCAAAAGGACAGGTTCAACCAAGGAAGGCATTAATTAATGAGCCTAATGACAGCAAATGTCACACAGTCGAGGTCAGCATCATCCTAGCATGCAAAAGTAGGACAGAACAGCCAACACAGGGTACAATTCATCCCAACACCCCCGCCCTCCCATCCTTCCACTGAGCTCAGATACAAAGTGATGCAGGTCCGTGACACTAGTGTTCAGACTTGAGTGGAGCAGACAGCCCAGCAGAGTGGTGTCTCACTCCCACAGAGTGGGACGTCTCCCGGTGACAGACGCGAGGAGGGGCTCCCTCCTTCCCAGCTACTGCAGCGTCAGCGGGACGCGCTCCCCGAGCTCCAGCAACAATCTGTCAGACGACGCACTGCGGGACATCTGAGCACCGCCGAGGCAAGAGATGGGGGTCTTCACACTTTGGATCTGGCTTTGGCCAGACAATAGCAGCTTACCAGGAAACAGCAAAATCAAAATCACACGAGGATCTTTGCACAACAAAAACGCAACAGCAGGAAACAAAAGAATAGAAGACTTAACAAACCAAACATACTCTCAGAAATGCATTTTGTGTAAAGTGTCTGTTGCAGCCTCAGCTAAATATTCATCCACCCCCCACAACATTCCACTTCAGTATGTTTATAAATATATATTTATATACATATAATACTATTTTATGATCAATTCTTGATGCTGGGAGCGGCGGTGGTAGAGTTTGCTCAGCTAGAGATGGCTTTAGTTAAAAGTCAAGGAGGATTCAGGGAGGTTGAGGCCATGCTGACGAGTCCTCCCCCCAAGGAGAAGGAGGAGGAAGAGGAAGAAGAGGATGAGGAGGAGGAGGAGGAGGAGGAGGAGGGGGGGGCTCCTCTTGCTGAGAACTGGACAGTAGTAAACGTCAGACACACAGTCAGCCTGCAGCGTAACTGCTCAGGAAGGAGTAGAACATGGGCAGCTTCATGCGCTGCTGGTCCCGCCGACACCACGCCATCACTGTACCCTCACTGTTGGCTGTGTACAGGTGGTGGCCGTCACACGAGTACGTCAGGCTGAGGCACATAGGAGAGGATGTGACCATCAGACTTCCTCACAGAATTACACTGAATATTTACAATGAATAATATCTACAATGGTGCCACTGTTATGATACCTGATGATGGGTTTGCTTGACTTGGGAAAGGTGATTTCTCTCACTGGTTTCAAATCCCAGGTGCTCCACAACCTGAACATAAAAACATCAGAGAGAATAATTCAGTGTGTTGATGAGAGAAGAAGCACTTCAACCTAAAAAAATGAATTTTCTGCTCACCTGACGACCCCGTTCTCCAGCCCGCCGGCGATGACGTTGACAGACACGCCCTCCGGCTGGTTGGAGAAGGCCACAGAGCAGATGATCTCTCTGCAGTGGACGTGACCAATCAGGTCACCGTTCACCGTCCACAGACGCAGGTCGCTGCCTCCGCCCACTAGATACAAAGACACACGAGCCATGACTCACATTGAGGACCAACACACACTTCAATAAACTAGAGATGTGATATGATAAACACTGAGGTTGTACAGGGAGACGGTCCTCACCCGAGTCACAAACTGTTGCGATGTCACCTGTGGTCTCGCTGGCAGACACAGACGTCACCGGGCTTTTGTGGCCAGTGAGGCTTTGTACATAACAGAGCCTGAAGAAACATAGAGCAGCTCAAAGACCACACTAACTGTACGCTGCAGAAATGTTGTTTTACTTTAGCTTTGTCACCACACACACACACACACACAAACACACACACACACACACACTAAAGCCGCACAATTATATGATATGATATGATTAAAGCATTTTCTTCTCACACACACTGACCTGTTGAGGTCCCAGAGGATACAAGTGCCGTCTTTGCTAACACTGATGAGGATGCTGTAGGGTTTGCAGACAAACAGGCTGGTGACTTCCCCCGTGTGTCCGTACAGGTGAACCTGAGATTCCACCTCCATCTCTGACGGCTATGCAAAGACATTATTTAAACAAAAGACACATATTAGAGACCATTTACAGATCACTTACACATCTGAATACTTGCCTTTGACTCATTGCTAGCATGTATCAATCTCCAACAGGATTTTCTGAACAGCATAATTCAATTGTCACTGAAACGCCCTTCAGGAATAGAGAAACAGGAAATGTAATTGCCTGTTGGTGGGGACTGATGAAGGTCTGAAAGCCCCTCTGATGACTGAACTCCCAGACCCCTAATCCCACTTGTAGGCTCGGTGGAAATGTGTTTCAAGGGCAACTGTGATGTGACTAATGAAGCTGAGCGTTTGAGCATGGTGAAGCTGTCTAAAGAGGGGGAGAGGAGGGTGGGGGTAATGGGAGGTGGGTGGGTAGATTGGGCGTTGATGTGGAGGCGGAAGGTTAGAGGGGGACGTTGCCATGGAAACCCACCGTGGTGCTGGTGAAGCGGTTGCTGTAGGCGGTGATGACTCCACACTTGCTACCTGTAAATAGCTGGCAGCCATCAGGCACCCAAGCGCAGCTGGTCACCTGGAGGAGAGGGAGACGCACGGTTGGACAGAGGGAATGAGAAAGCTGAAAGCTCATAGGTTGATCCTCAGTGCAGAATTATGTAACACAAACAACCAGTATTTTCTTTCACGAACAGCTGGCCTGGATTTCTCTGAGCTGTTTACCTGGTGAAGTTGTGAACACTGAATAAAGTTGATAGGTGGTTCACTCTGTTTGCTCTTTAGCCTCAATATGTTGTCTGCATAGCCCCAGCTCAAGATGGCCGACCACTGGATGTCTGTGCTGTGCATACTGCGAACACCTACAGAGGAGAGAACACGAAATTAATGGAGTCAGCAGGACATTGTGCAGAACATCCTGTACATCCACTATGACTCGTGGCTGA